AACCATCACAAAACATCTGTCGAAACGAGAGCTGCATTGACATGGTGGTTGTAATAATTAACAATGATTATTTAGTTTAGTTTATTTAAGATAATAGAAATAGCACTCGATATGGTCAGGAAGATTCATTTAGACAGAATTTGTTCTTCTCACAATTTAGAGATGAATATTATTTATTTGGGTCCCAATGGCCTGACATTTTTAAAAGTGGGTCCCCCACAAATAGATAAAGGCAGCCACCCTATATAACCTTTGGCACATTGGCCACTACAGAAACACTAGCTTTATACACAAAATTATGTTAATAAGCCGTTACATGTAAATATCAACCCATTTTTAAAATGTCTTAAATTTCTAATCTTTGCTCTTTAACCTTCAAGCAAGTGTGTGCTGCCTAATGTAAGACCGCAAGCCAGCCGACAAAGACAATCAGATTGAGGTGGATACACAAAAAAGCCCACGCGAGCTGACAGATGGCCGCACACACTTCATGGGAGGATAAACATAGATCTCGCACACAGAAGCTGACCAGGTTTGACATCAACTCTGTTGGATTCTGCTCATTTGTCAGCCGCAGCCCGCCTCGACATCGCCGTCTAACCCGAGGGGGAAGATAAGGACGACCCCCGCCGGGAAACTTCCCACCAACCGCTCCGCTCTTATCTAATCTCCTCCATGAATGAAGGGAGGACGGGGGAAACAAGTAAATACGTGTTTCAGAGTGAAGATGATGTCATTAATCTGCTTATGCTTTCATGGATGATCTAAAGTGACAAAGGGACGTTGGAGAGATGGAAGCCGTAGCATGCTGGATGTCGGTGGAAGTGCGGGAGAAAACTTTATCATTCTGGGTGAACTGATCTGAACCAGTCAAAAAAAAGTACTGTACAAAAAGCCTGAAATGTTTTCCTCGTTGTAAAGAGAAGGGGAGCGTAAGGGCAATTGAGGCTACCTTGACATACTGCACCTTCCTCCCATTCCTCAAAAGAATTTAAATTGAGCGTTACTGTAAAATCCCATTTCTGCCAAAGAGAAAAATCTGGACTCCTGTGATCGCTCTATTCTTCAGTGATTGATGGTTCGCTGTTGTTTACTCAGAAGACAGAGATAGGTCGCAAAGTTAGAACCTGAAAGCTATTCTTTGCTTTTGACAGATAATCACAGATAAAAAGCGGTCGATCGGAGGCAGGAAATCGACTCTTCTAAAATGGAACGGACTGGAAATAAATTCTACTGCAATCATAATTGTGTTCAATTAGCCTTAACATGATTGCTGAAGGGACCATGTGCTTTGTGGCTCCGGCAAAAAGAGGCTCGAGCGTGAAAGTTGTCTCAGCAAACAGATTATGATTATAGCTCATCTATCAGATGAAAAACACAAAAACACTGGGGAGGAAACTTTTAGGCTCGACAGGAGGTCTGTCACTGTAAGTGTTTCGCTCAGCTGACGTTGATCTTCAGTGGAGGAACGCTCGCGCTGTGTGACCATGGAGGAGGAGGTAAAGTTCTCCAGAAGGCTGCGAGGGGCATTGGCCGCGTTCTGAAGCGTGATATTGGGGCCGGAGCCTCGAGCCGAGAGGTCCGCGATGCGTAACCACCTGCAGGCTCCACCAGTGCGGCGCCCTGTGACAGACAGGGTCTCTCAGCCAGAGCAGGAGATGGAAGAGGACGCCGCGCAGTTGGAGCTGCAGTTCAAACATAGAGCACTGTATTATTCTGAGTTACGGCCACATGAAGCAAGCGTGGATATGGTATTCACAGTCCGGGACTAAAGCCGACTTCAGTGACCGGAAGGAAATTGGAAGCGGCCCTCCACATTGGAGGTCACACCCGTAGTCATTTAACCAGGGAGAACTGTCGAGCTTGTGTCCTTCCCGGTTTAAGTGCTATATATTGAATATTCTTGTTCGTTTACCTTGATCTATACAGTCTGTTTCCAACAGGTAAACTTCAGCTGTGTTAAGCTCTCACTAAAGCTTCCAGACTCTGAAAAGAAAAACAAATAACAAAACGAATGGATGCCAGGGAAACTTCACTCATGTTTGTTTGGCCTCGATTGGAAGAATACATGTATTCACTATCTGCAAAGAAAATTTATTTGAAATCATTTATTTATCCTTTCTCATGTGATAAACGACCTCTGAAGAATGTGATTCATGTTGGTTCAATTAACCGAAATAGAATACCAATAACTGCTGCACTAGGTTGCCTCATGTCAATACAAATTAAACCCTGGCTCACTGCTAATATGCATTTTTAACCTCATCAAATATTACAACCGAAATGTTCATGGAGCCAAAAACATAAATCTTGATGGTTGACAAATCATGCCATGGCACCATGTTTAAAAGCACAGCCCATATTCAAGATTTCACTTACCTACATACACGGACACACACAATAAAATATCCTCACCGAAATCTAATTCCTGGCCTCTGTTTATTTTGTTCATTTACAAAACTCATTTAACCTGCATTACTTCAACAAACAAATAAAGGGGACAAACAAATGAAAGAGCAACGGAACTCCTGTTTGTTTGGAAAGTCCACTGAAGATATTTAATTTCTCGGTTGCCTGACATTGATTTTACGGTGTTGACTGCCGTTATTCTCCCCGCGTCTTATGTGGCCTGCACCACTGTGTCACGGTGTACGGGATTCACTGATGAAATAAAACCACAGACGGTGAAACGCTGCAAAACGAATCTCTGTGCAAGAACAAGGTGCCTTTTAATCGTCGGCACCGAGCCTCTACCTGTCACATCCTTCACTCCTCACAGCCTCGTCAGATCACACTGCTTGGTCTCACCCCGGACCGGGTGTAAGAGACGCCACCAGCTGAGCATCCCCCTTCGCACAAATACATCCCCTCTGGCACGAGATGACTAAGATTGTTCATGGGCGCGCTTCAGTGTGGACGTGATTACTTTAATAATTTACTTTAATTTTATCTTGGAACCTGTTGCAGGAATCTGCTCCCGTTCAGCAACAGGATGCTTGGGATGTCCGGCTACTGATGTCGGGCCAAAAAAAATAGCTTTCTGGAACCTGGGTTTTTGCTCTGGGTCACCTTAAAACTGAAAAAGAAGGTTTTAGGAGGAAATAGTCACTAAAACATTGTTGTCTGGAATAGTTCAGATCTGTAAAATGACCTGCATGAAAAAGGACCCAGCACCAAAGCGCTGCACACGCGTGAATCGAGATGAGACGCGATTGGGCAACTTGACACGAGTGGGCTCATGCTGGTGTGTTAAATCTACTCATCCATGAAGAAGCTTTTAATATGAGTTAATGACACGCCTGGGGAGTAGGCTCCCTCCTACGGCTGACAGAGAGAGCTGTTGTCCCTCATGGTGACGGCCGATCATTAACTTGCTGCATCATCTCGAAGCGGCCAATGACAGGCTGCCGTGGGAATGAGTCAGTGAGACGAATCTCCAAACAACCCTCTATTTTGCAGTATGAACGGCTCGTTAAATCTGGGACCCGCTTTGGCACCGTCTAAGTAACACATGACCCCATCTGATGTTGACCTTTTGAACTTGACTGTTGTAACAGCGAATGTTACGAATGTGCAATAACCTAATCACGGCAAACATGGAGCCTTCATGATCTCCTCCTCCTCCTCGGCTGCAGAAGAAATGGAATTGGATATGCTCCCACACTTGCACTAAATGTCAAATACACATCAGTTGGATGCAGAGTTTTTATGGATTATAAACAGTTGCTGGTATTGAGAATAGTATGACATCATTTTACAATCCTCTCAGCAGTTGAGGCCACAGCTCCTTCTCACCCCTCTGCAGCGTGATGAAACAGTGACAGTGGTGATTCTGTTTGTTTCACCTTTAGATCTCTGCATCTTCTGACACATCCAGGAGGGTCAGTGCAGCCAAAGAGCAGGAATAGATGTATACCAGACTTATGGCTTAAGCAACCCTGATAATCTAGAAGGGAATGAGTGGAAACCAGACAGGTATTTACTGCAGGGCTGATGAGGCGGAGTGGAAACAGCTGAATGAAGGAGACAGATGACTGGCGCCGGTGGGGAGTATGGAGAATGCAGGGGAAGTGAGAGTGGGGCTGATGAAAGAACGTTTGACAAGCAATTACTTTTCGATAAGTATTTTTGACTCCTCTGCTGCTTAATAGTTGTCATGCATTCACACAGGATTTGTGACTCAACAGCCACAGTGAGAACCTCACTGTCACATCTCTCCGTTCCCCCACATACTCTCCTGCCATCTTGTGTTCATTTTCTGAACACGCTGCATGCAGAGGACACTATTAGAAATGGAATGTATTGTAGCTGATGGCAGGAATTAGTGGCGCGGATTAATGCAATGATGTGTCTGAGGAGTCAATTTCCCCTGTTTGGTGTTCTCCTCTGCTCCTCACTAGAGACCAGCTGACTGCTTAGGAACTACCAACATACCAAGTTATTTATTATGGGTGCAATGAGGATTGTCTGAGAATGGAGCCCTTACCGACTGCTCAGCAAGATCCTCTCCAGTATAATAATATAAACATGAAAGGAGTCACTCAAACTGGCAAACTCCCACTTCACTCATTGATTTCGGCTAATTGTGCCTCAACTTTACCGTTTTAGTTCACTCTCATCATCATTGTGCCAATATTTTTGATAGTTTCAAAAATCCACTGAACTCTTCTTGCGTAGCTCCCAGTAACTGACAGCTGTCATAGCTGGTAAACATAGGCAGTGGGAACGAGAAAAGTTTGAAGACTAAATGAAACCTAAAAGGAGAGAAATTATTCCAGCATCACTTTGTTAAAAGCTCCCGTTCCTCAATGTCCGTTGGATGTTAACGTGTGCATCTGTACATTAATAAAGTGATTTCACCAAGCAAAGGGTTAACATCGTGTTTAGTTTGCCACTTCCCACAGTGGACACAAAATGTATTGAAGCAGATTTTATCTACTGATACATTTCTAATATAGATCTATGTATATTAGAATTTATCAAAAAAAAGGCATCACTCATAAGCCAAAAGAAAAAAAATCTTTATTTAAAAAAGTATACCCAATTGAGGACGATTTTTCATTCAAAGGAAATCATAAAGATAGCACAATGAGTCCTTTCTATTATTTCAGCATATTATCATTTTAACAGACACGGAACGTGCACTTGATCGCTTTGTCTGGATATTTGATGAATCATCAACCTAGACACTACATGCTATCAGAACGTTCCCCAGCCTGAAGGGAATTTGATGGTATGCCTGAGAGGAGGACAATCAGTCTGAATGCAGATAATCCTCTGGTGGTCCAGCACTTTTCTTCCATGGTTTCGGTGCTGCCAGCGCATATCAAGGCCCGGATTCCCTTAGAGTCCGATTAGCAACTTGGGATGCGAGACTGGAGTTGGGGTTTGAGATACGATGGACACGACTAGACAGCTGCACATGTAGCCAGTTTAGGAGATCATTTGCCGCCAATAAAAAGCTAATCATCGTCAGACGCTAACTGGGCGGGTTCACAGATTGTGCCTCTTTAGCTTTAGCTCACAGCTTCCTCACACATGAAAGCTCAATCCAAAAATTCAGTCTATAAATAGAAACCAGCATGCTTCTGATGCCAGGTTCTCTTCCGGTTGCCTAGCGATTCTACGAATGAATGCAGAATCTGTCCATAGAGATAATGAAAGCGATCACACTATACGTTGGGCTGCAGCACGTTGACCAAGAGCAGGTATGAAAGTCACAGACAACTAGAACAAAATAAATAAAAAACAGCTGCTAGTTTCTGGGGTCCAACGGTCCTTGCAGAAATGCTGGAGAGTCTTTGCTGTCACACTGGGACAAAAATATCTGGGCTAGCATGTAGAGGCCTTGTTGGAGAATTCATCTGATCCAGGACTGAAGGTGGGGCTCTGAGTAGTCCAGGCCGACTGCTTTGGCAACGTTCAGTCTAAAAACTATTACGAGCCTCTGTGGGACGATGCTGCTGCGCCAGCTTACCGTAGCCGCCTCTGGCTGGGTCGTAGTCCTGCCTGTACTCATCTCTCACCTACAAGAAGGAACAAAACACAACCAGGGGCACAAATAACTACACACCTTCCATTACCTCAATTGAGTTACGCTTACAAACCAGGAGTATTGTCCTGTATGTATGGGGGGGGTGGGAATTGACAACTAGGGGACAAGTCATTAACTACTCGTCATGCATTATATTGCATTGCATATAATGTGCGCTGGTCAACTAGTCTAAAATTAATTCTAGACAATTTTTTTGCGTAGTTTAGAGTGACAAATCGTACCAGCGTACTTTGAAGTCAAAATGCGTATCAGGTTGGCAGGTCTGCTTATTGATAGAACGGTGGACCAATTCACCTTCTGCCTCGTCGGTCCCCTCACCTCAAAAGCTACCTCCTCGAAAACGGTCGCGTTAGCTAATCATTTCCCACCAGAGCTTTAGCTAGCTGGCCAACGCCGCGTTCTCTCCTGCTGTGTTAAATGACTCAACTCATCAAGCTGTGGCTAACGTTAGCTAAGTCTATGTCAACAAAGCTCCTGGGTAACTTAACTTAGATATACCAGAAAATATTAAAATTATTGAAACCATCACTCACCAAGTTCGCAATTCACTGAATCTCGCGCTCCCTTCTGACACGCTCACCTGTTCGCAGTTCAGTGAATATGAATACCCCCCCTCCCAAAAAAGAAAAACTCATTGAATCTACACGATTCACGTAGGTCACCTATTTTGGTTTCAAAACGGCAAATTTCGCCGAAAGGTGAGGGATTTTCATGCCTGGCTTGCTTTCCTATACACAATGTAAACCTTACGAGCAGTGGTTGCCACAGTGGGTTGCTTAAGGACTTAGAAGTAAAAGTACTCACCTGTCCTCCTGATTTTCCGCGGCCGTACTGGCGTCCCTCTTTGAAGCCGGCGTCCCAGTCAGTCCTGATGATACGGTCATCCAGTCTGGTGCCATTAATGAAGCGCATAGCATTTTCTGCACCTGTGCGTGTGTAGTATCTGGTACAGGATGGGGTTAAGGTATTTGTTGATAAAACGTAGTACTGAATGGAACCTCCGCCTAGTCGCCAAGCAGATAGATCGTTCCTGATGTGGAGGTGCGTTTACTGTGAATATGGTTGAATGACTCATTTTAAAGAAGGATACTCTACGAAGCAGAATCCACAGGCTGTCTTCTTGACTTTATCCAAGCCAATGACGATGCGCTTTACGTCCCCGCTTTTAGAAAATATCTCGTGTACCTACCAAACAATAACAAAGACAAGTGAGAATAGTGTTCACAGAGAGATCATAGCAAGCACCTCAGAAGAGTTTATTCTTAACAGTTTTAACACTAATAACATTTAAATTGTGAAATATATTAAAATTGTAATAGAATTCTAACTGCTGGAAATGTCAAGCCTTACAAAATGTCACAGCCGGGTTATTAAAGGTTAAAAAAAATAGCAGATCCACTGTCTAAAAAGAAAAAAAACTCAATGTAAGATGTTACAGGAAATGTAATACAAATGCAATTCTCACTATTCTTGATGCACACTTTATTGTGTGCATAACGCCAATAATGCCAGTGATGCAAATACACAGACCTAATAGGTTTTGGTTTATTAGCCCTATTTTAAATACAGTCAAGAGATAAATGCATGTTAGGACTATTTTGTGTGAGCACATTGAGACCAATACAAGAACTGGACTGAAACGTATTGTGCTGCATGCGCCCACATGTTTGTCCAAAAAGCCGTGACGTAGATTGTCCTACCTGGTCCTCGGTGGAATAAAAGGACAGATTGCCGACATACAGAGTGTGGCTCTGCTTCAGCAGCTTCTCCTGGTCATAGCGGTTTCCCTGGAGACACAAGCAGCGTGCGGCATTGTAGTAATAGCCCTCAATATCAAGCCCTTCGGTCATTTGTGTTCTCATAAATATTCACATTTAGTTATCATCGATGTGTCTTTAGATCTAATCTAAGGATACAAAGAAGGCATCCACTCCATAATAAGCGCGCGGGGGACCACTGTTGTTTGCGAGCAGTTGCTAACGTTTAGCTAAAAGCTAAATAGTTAGCGTCAGATAGGAGGACGTTACAAAGCGAGGTATAGGGGTGGGTTCCCCTCACTTACCTTAAAATGCTGGTCTCTGTATTGACTAACATCAACGTAAGAGTCGCTAACCAATGCGTTTAGTTTAACGGACATTGTGGAGGACTTGCAGATCCGCGGCAGGCTCGCAACTGCGCTCAGGGAGTCTTACATTAGTTCCGGTTCACGTGTCCGTCCTTTGAAAAGCTCCGGAAGGAACCTTTCATCTGTCAGTAGCACCAACTGTGTTAACGAAGTGGAGCCCCCTGCTGGTATGTTCATGATGCACTGATTGGTTTATGAACATTGAATAATAAATAAAATACGAAATGTGTTTTGGGGATTTCACGGAGAAATCCATGTCATTATAAAATACACATAATACACGTCATTGAAATGTAAACATTTAGAGCAATTAAATAGCCTAATGTCACATGACAGCTGAAACTGGCAGGCGGTGAGATGTGGTGCCACTCGATTGGCTGCTGCCATTTTGTCATTGGCTATCATTCAAATGGACCTCTTCTTGTTTTCTCACCATTATACGTTGTTTTTTGGGATATTGCAAATGTCTAATATATATATATAAATGGGTAATGGATTTTTTTAAGCAGTTTGTTAACACAATCAATGATGACGAATTCTGAGAATTAACAAACTTCTTTAAAAAAAACATTACCCATATAGGTATACATTTATTGATTCCACAATCAAGAGGCATTTTGTTATGATTAATGCATCAAATACACAAAAACAAAGCAACGGAGGAGGGTAAAAAGTGTTTTTGTCCAACAAAACCATTGAAGACCACAAAGTTTCTTGTAAGATCATTTTATTATGATGGATGAAAGACATTTATTTAAATCCTGCCTGACTTGACTAAGTTAACAACTAAATGATTTTGTGAAAAGACTATAAAAATATGAATGAACCCTTATATAAAAATCCCAGACAATTATAAAAAGAAAAAAAAAGGATGCAACTACAGGCATGACTTGATTGACTTGAAGCCAAATACTGGGTTTAATTGCTCACTTTCAGTTCTATTAATGCTTAGCAAGGCCCTACATCTTACATCTTGTATCGTGTTATAACTTTGTGAGTAAGGAGCAGTAAGGAGGACAGCGACTCTGTCGTCATATATTCCATGTCGTCACCATCAGAGGTCAGATGATCTCGAAGTAGTATTGTTGCAGCAGCTCCTGGAACCTGAAATGTTAAAACATGCATCTAATTAAAATAAACAGCAATTGTTTCTTTAGAAAGACACCGTTATCCCCCAACAAGGAGCTCAGATGTCAACTTTGAGCAGCAGATGCAGTTGATATACCCTCAGCACATTGCCTAAGGACACAGCCAAGCAGATGCTTTCTGTCAAGAAGCCTACAACATCAAAAACAAACAGCATAAAAACTAAATACCCATGTCAATGGCTTTTTAAACCATTTTGTTTCTGGTTAACTGGAGTGTGATGGCAATTTGAAATTCGCACCAAAAAAAGCTGCATCATAGTTATTTTCAGTAAATGCAAATACAGAAAAATGAGCAGAAAGTGTATGGACAGTATGATTTATAAAACTACCACGGTGCCTGTGATTTGAGTGCAAATCAAATCGTGTCTTCTCTGGTGCATTGTTTCAAATGTAATTTTCATTTGATCAAATTGCCTCAGCAGAGGGCTGTGGCCGTGTTGTATTGCAGGAATAGTGTAGTAGCCTGCACGATGCACGGTAAAGGGAGGAATAGGGGAACTACAGGGCCCGAGGCCCAATCTGTCGAATCCTAAAGCACCGATAAACCAACCAATCCAACTTTATTTCAGACTCAAGGTCCCGATAGTACAAAATCAATAAATGGAGTAAAAATAAAAAGATTAAAAAACAGCCAGTAACAACTTACGCGTTAAAAGTGGATTTTCTTTTCCATCTTCTCTCCATCAAAGCTCGGACTTCCGCTCGATGCTGAGCAGCTCCACTTCGAAGATGAGCGTCGCTCCTCCCGGGATCTTGGGGGGCGCACCCCGGTCCCCGTAGCCCAACTCGGACGGGATGACCAGCTTCCTCTTCTCGCCCTCGCACATGCCCAGCAGGCCCTGGTCCCAGCCTTTGATCACCTGCCCGGTGCCCAGCGTGAAGGTGAAGGGCTGCCCGCGGGGGACGCTGCTGTCGAACTCCGTGCCGTCCTCCAGCTTGCCCGTGTAGTGCATGTTTAGCACGTCGCCTTTGCGGGACTTGACGGGGCAGTTGTCCACTCGCTTCTTGATGCCGATCTGTAGCTTTTTCTTGTCGGCTCCGCTCTCCGCCGCGGGGCTCAGAGACAGCACGGTCACTGCGAACAACAGGAACACCCTCATGGCGGCGCACCTCGTCGTCTCCACGCGTTCGGCGGGTTTGTTGTGAAGGGAAGCTGCGACCTACGCGACCTGGGGACAATTTGAGAGAGAAAGCGAGAGAGGGTGATACGGGAAATTAACTGGGACGTCTGTTGCCGAAAGCGGATGTACGCGTCATTCAACCGGACGTATTTTCCAGGCTGGTGTTACCAGCAAAGAGGTCCGGAACACCGCTGGCCACAAGAGTGAAGTTAGGTTCTGATTCGTGCAGACCGACCGAGTCTCTCTAAAGAAACTTAAGTAAATATTGCCTGAGACCAACTTCAGCCTCGCTTCGGTGTGTTATGTCATCTAGCGTTACTGTAAACCAACCTTGTGTTCACCTGGTTCTGCTGGTAAGTAAGTCCCACCTTTTTTAATAACTGAAATAAAACACCACATACATTACAACAAATATACCGATCGGACGATTTAAACTCAACCTACGCGTTATTGTCATTTACAGGGCGGGATTACACGAGAGTTGACCTACGGCAACGCTAAACTAGCGGGCTAAGCTAACTCGACAACATGCTCGCGCGCATGCTATTCAACCTCCTGAACAACCACCGCGTCGTGGAGAAGTTGGCCGAGTCTCGTCCGATCCGCAGGGCGGCCCAGATCACGGCCTACGCCATCACCAAGGCCCAGATCGCCGGCCGGGACGCCTCGCAGCGGGTCCTGCGGTCACAGACGCTGCGGCAGGTCCGGGACGAGGCTGGCAAAGTCCCCGGGGACGTGGGGGAGATGGGCAGCCGGCTGAAGAGAGTCGGGGAGACGTTTGTGAGTGAGGTGAAGGGAGGGTGGAAGGACGCCTCCAGGGGGATCAAGAAGTGAGGACGCTCAAGGGACCGTGGATGGTCACCTTTTGATGGCCAGGGTCAATCAGCCGACAGCATGTCTGGTTTTCCTGGTGCGTTGATGCAACAGTGACTGATGGAGTTGAGTTGAAATGCGACGTGTGAACAATATGTCTCACTGATGCAACACAACAGATATATTACTTGGGAAAATGTACATATTGGGGAAGATATGATGATGATATGTACAGACAATGAATTAATTCCCCATTTGTTTCTGACTGTATGAATAAATATTATAATTTATAACAGCACTTTGACTACGAGTCAGTGCATATATTAAAATTGAAATAAAACAAGTCTAAAAACTATGTTTACAACAACATGTTAAGTTAGTTCCATCAGGACTAGATCTCACAGAGTATAGAGTATTTCTGTGTAGCTATGTGAAGGTAACAATGAGGTCAAGGTCTTGCAGTAAGAAAAGGCTTTTTACGTTTTGTAGGCCCAAAGGTTACATTTAACACGGGAAAGAATGATAGACATAAGCACATTTTATTGTCCCTTGTGACATTTGGCCACTGGTGGCAATCAATGTAATGATTTACTATTACTAAGTAGTCAAAGCCCTCACAGTACACTACAGTGACTGAGTCCTGGCTCTATTTCTCTAAACTTTGGCTTTGACTAAAGCCATAACCCAATTACTTTTTTATACTTTAGTGCAGCAGTTACAATCTGAACATTATTTGGCAACTATATTGATGATTTGTTAATCAACCATAAGTGCTTTAAAATGGAAACATTTGATAATCTTCGACTTTTCAAATGTGAGAACTTGCCTGACATGATCCCAATAAGACGTGTCATATGGACTTTAGACAATTGGGACTTTATCTCCTGTTTACTGTGAATTTATCAAAAATATGCTGGGATCATTAAACAATTAGTCCACTACCCTTTTAGTGCTGATCTTGAAACCAAATGCACTTATTGTAATGCAATGTCCAAGTTATTATTTTTTGAAGTCTCTAGTAGCTCGGCTTAACGGCCCAATACAAAATGTCTGCATGACCGGGCTCTTTATATGTCAGCTTGGAACATCTGCAGAAAAAATATCATGGATTACAAAACATTGAATGAAAGAATAGCTTTATTTTATTTGAACAAGCATAGAAAACATGGAGCAATACTTGTGCAGACTCACTGGTCTGGCAACTAAATATTAGTTACATAATTTCACATAGAAATATGTATTTCTATCAGGAGGAAGATAATGCATTTTTTTCTGACAGCATGAGTCAGCACATATACACTGATATGGCATCTGAACATCATATAAAAATAAATCTCAACAGGTAAATACACAGCAATCAACAGAAAGTACAGTAGATATGACAGGAGCGGCTCAGTTCGAGAGGTATTTCTGGAGTGACTTGTTTTTGTTAGAGGACTTCAGAGCATTTTAGTATAACCATTTATTTTGTTTTAAAACATTAAAATACTTTTGTATTCGTTTGACACTCTTGCATGAGTTTGAAAATCCAAATGGAGTCAATCAGCCAGAGAAAACAATAAGTCATTCACTCTGTAGCAAGAACCACAGGATGCTTTCTTTATGTTCTCCCCAAATGTGATGGAACCTGACTGGTGTGTCAGAGCTACCTGCTCAACGGGGTTAAAAAGAGAAATGCCGGCAGTTGGAGGTTATTTAGATTGCTAAATCTGCTGCTAAATAAGTTCCTGTCAATAATACAAAATAAAAAAGATTAATTTGTATTTTTTAATTAATAATTCATGTATTAATAATTTGGTATTTGGGGAGAATGCATGAAGTAAACAGCCTATGGATAATCACTCATCATCAGTATCGTCAGCACAGCTCTGCATGGAAGAACCACTAGTGCATATTCACTGATATGGCATTAGCTTATAATATGAACACAACCTCCACTCAGGAAAGGCTGTGTCGGTTAGCTCACAGAGCAAGTGGCAGCAGAAGAGAACAGACATCTGACTTCTATATTCACATGGAGCATCTAATAAGGGGGGAAATGATCCGCAATCAACGCAGTTTTAAAGGTTCCAGGGAGTGAAAACTATAAACTCCTCTTCAAAGACAACTGGACCCGATCACTTGTCTCAAACATACACTTAACGCAAGCAACTGGGATCCTTTCAGGAACTCCGTGGTGAACCCGGAAGTTAAAACATTATATGTGACTCATGTGAAGTTAAAAATCAGATTGTCTGTTCTTTTTAAAATGAAACAGGCATACACAAACCACTAAAGCAATGTAACAGGTGGCAGCATACACACTGATATGGCAGATCACCTTCAATAAACAAAGTGGCCGCAACACCTTCTCTCATTGTGTTGGATCCATACGGGCCGAATGTCCTACTGGCATACGGGCCGAATGTCCAGTAAAGTTTCTTATCTGCCCCAAAAACAGGTAACAGTGTGCTTAATTTACCACTAACACTATGTAAATCCAAAGGCGGTTCCAACATGCCATCTTCTTGTGTATTAAAACAATACAGAATCAGGTAGAAATAGTGCAATCTTTAAAATACAAACATTAATTCAGGGATAGAAGGCTTAAGTAAAGCAGGGCTAAATTGGAATGGACAAAGGCAACGATGGACGATTTGAAGAAGGTTGAAGTAAGCGAGGCGGCGGGGCACCTGTGTCACATTACATGCAGAGGTTGGTTAGCACGAAGCTGAACGCGGCCAGCAGCAGCAGCCACACCGAGGACATCACTGCAAGAGGAAGAACAATCAAACATATTAGAGAGGTTGTACACGAAAAAACAATAGAAATCATTAAGTACTGTCTTTTAGTCTTTTTATTGTTAGATCAATCCTTCTGCTCTGGCCCTCTTCAATCGACCCAGAAATTGTCATGGGTGGGAAAGATTCATTTTACGTGATCACGCAATTTCAAAATGACATCGTTACACCCAGAAGACTCGACATCCATTATTTCATCTGCAATTTCTCACAAAGCCGTGACCTTTTTAGATCTTTTGGCGTTTATTGGAGTCGAGGACAGCTGTACTCGCACGTCACAGAATGAATGCTGTGATTTAGTGTGTTTTTACCTGCACTCGAGGAGTTACACTCCATCTCGATCAGTGAATCAATGTATCCCGGGCCCAGCCACTCCTGGTAGGTCTTTCTGTCAGCAACGCCCACGAGGCGCACAGTGGAGTCTTTGAAAATGAGATCCGTGCCCTTGTAGGCCTGTGAGTCAAACATCCGGAAATCAGGACCCGTGTCACTGCCGAAGTATTCCTACAAAGAAACAGACCGACAAACAGGGGATCAGAGGAAAAGATGAACTAAATTCAGCTTTATCAATAAAGAAAACAAATTCTGCATGTAACCAATAACTGTCTCTGTGCGTGAGTAATAGGATCTAATAGCGTGGACGTCTCACCTGTGCACGGCCGAGGAGTCCATAGACAGCGTGGATGTTGGTGTCGGGCCGCACCATCACAGCGTGGGAGGGGACTCTGGCCAGGTTACAGTGTCTGTACTGTGTGGCCTCTGCTTTCGTGTTCTGGGAACAGAGCAGCTGGAAGTCTGTAGACCGGAGGTCTGTTGCCCATGATTCACCAGAGTTACCTGAACAAACACAAAACGCGACTTGGTTAATTGCGTCCCTTAAAATCTTTCACCCGAGGAGTACAAGTTGCATCTTACAGTTACTTGTCTTACCATCAGTGTTTTGGAAGACGGTAGAATGTTTGACAAAAGCCACATCTCCATCTCCTTTCGCGAGACACCTGAATTGAAGGATAGAACAACTAATTTAGTATTTGGCGTAAGTTCAGGTAACTCTTCTATTGAAGACAACAGAGAAAAAATTGGAGAACCTCCTGTATTTTGGGCCCTCTTATGACTCGAATCGTCATAACAAAGATGATACGCCAGAGAAAATACTTCTTTGATAAAAAGTCTAAAGATTTTCTACTCCTGTAGTTCAAACTGCTGACTTTCTTCTTCTCCATGGCAACTGCAGCTGACACGCACAAGCATTGAGGTATTTAAAGTAGGGCTGTCAATAGATTAAAAAAAATTAACTAATTAATCACACATTTTGAAATTCATTCATCTCGATTAGTGGCAATTAATGAATGTTGTTATTATTCTAGGCCACATTAATCACATTGATTTGTGCATTAATGTTGACAACCCTAATTTAAAGCCTTATACCATGATAGACTTTAAGACAAAAGGTGTATTTTCAACAACTAATTTGTTTAACAAAAAATTGAACTGATGATAAGATAAAGCTCATAGACCTGTCAAGTGTGTTTCAATATTCAGTAACATTTTTATCATTTAATACATTTTGAAACTGACAAACTCAAGTGAGGCATGTGACCCGGCTGAGGTGCTTGGGATGTTACCTGAAGGCACCGTCGTATCCATCATAAAGGTCTTTTCCCTTCTCACATTTGTTCTTTCCCATGCTGTCGCCAACACACGCACCGCACAGGTTGTCGGGGAAACCAGGCAGGTTGGCACCTGGAACGCAGCTCTGCTTGAAGAACCCTCCAACCGCTGAGTATCATGGGAAACACAACAATTTCAGATTTAAAACCAGAAGGGATATATGCCGGGCCCTTTTTTGTTTAGCTTTTACATTGACGGCCTGCCTTTAGTCTGCTTGTCAAAATCAAATGTGTGCCGAAGAAGTGGTTCTTTAGCAAGCTACCAACAAGCACACAGCCATTGCCCATGGGTCGGATTGGTTGAACTACTCACAAGTACACCTCAACATCTAATTCATATCTGTCTGTATGGTCATTACAAGGAAACCCACTGAAAGGTGTCACCTGATGGTGGTGTCCAATTTGAAATATCTTGGAATCATACTGGATTTGAATCTGTGTAATAAAAAGAGTGCTAGAAAGGGTAGCCGCTACTATCAAACTATCGCCCGACAGCCCACTGACCTTGGGGTATCTGACAGTGCTGAGGGGTGATTAGGCCTCTCTCCATCAGTGCTGCTACGGGAACGTTCCAGCCAGCCGTGCGACCGTATCCGGTGTGACAGGAGCGACGGCCGCGCAGGTCGTCAATGTTACGGATGTCAACACTGCTCTTTTTCACAACTGCTACTGCATAGTACATGGAGCCATCGCGTTCCTCTGGAGAGAAAGAACAACATTTATCTGTGATGTTTGAAACGACAATCCGTGCCTATGTTTGTGTTTGTGCTTTTACCTGTGTAGCTCTCGCCGGTTGCAGGGACTAAGCCGTAGTCTTTCCCTGCTGAGTAGATGTAACCTCCATCAAGAGTGACGGCATCGGCCTCATTGTTCTACATAGAAATGAAAAGAACCGAACGGAGAGTGACTTCCGAAATGAAAAATCAATGCAATAAAATGTTGTGTACACTATTCAAGATGGTGGCGCCTTTAGATATTGGTTTGTCTCTTTGTACATGTCACAACATCAGTTGACGGTGGACATCTGAACGTGAGCCTCTGACATATTGTCAGCTGCTTCAAGTTTTTCAGCCAAAATACTTTGGTCGATGATTCCAAATCCAGACCAATGAGAAACATTTACCTTGATTCTCTTCATGCAGTCAGTCACAGAGTCCCCGTAGACACACCTGATCTCCGGAGTCAGACCTTTGCTTTGGAAGGCGACGCCCATGCCTGCACACTTCTGTTGCTCACCGCTGGTAAGCACACACCAGCGCAGCACATCTGGGACATTTGCAATGAAATGGGTATTTGTAAATATAAAACAACATGTGTGGGTAGTGCAGAAGGAAAGATCAATTTATATGTAAGCTAAGTAGGTGGTCCAGAGGCTACCAAGTCTCACCTTCACGTTTACAGTCCATGGCTCTCATGGCATTGTTATAGAGGCGACCCAGCCACTTTGTGGGGTCGTCCGATTCGCTCGCTAGAAACATGGAGGACAACTCAGAGAAGAGTACCGTTCCTCCGCCATACGCCGTAGATGAGAACATGTTGAAGCTCGACTTTTCCTGCAGACGGCGAGTTGCACTCATTATAAGTCTCATAAATAGAATTAAGGCAATGTAGTTAAATGCAAGTGTGATTTATTTTAAGAGCATCCCATTTGGTTGGCATCACCGCATGGAGCCGCTGGGACGTACCAGGCCCTCCGTCAGCATGTTGAGCACCACAGAAGGAGTCACGTCATTGCGCACAACAATCCCGCGAAATGGCACGCGGACCAAATGGCACGATTTCCACTGAGAGACGGGGGCCCTGGTGCCGTCAATACACAACAGCTCATAGTCCGATGACACCAGTTTGTGTGCCCATGCTGGTCCACGACCTGGTGAGAAACAGGCATAATTAACCAACAACAATGTTGCTGTGATAAGCGATTCATTAGTGACTACGGAGATAACTGAGAACTTGCCATCAGTGTTTTCCTCCACCGTTGTGTGTTTGATGAAGGCCACCTCTCCTGCATCCTCAGCCAGACACCTACAGCATTAAACACAAACTGAAGGGTGCACGATACTTGCAGAGTTGTCTCCTCTCTAGCACAATGAAATCATGGCTCGCGTGTGTTTGTATCCATGCTAGAAGGTTGATTCTAGGGATTTTCAACGTTTGTCAACTTTTCAGGCCTTACTTATTTTCGTAACTATTAACATTAAAGAATTGTCAGGAATTTTTCTTGGTCCATGAAGCTTAGAAACTTCTGTTCCCTGACATTTGTATTTATAACAATGTTAACAGTCTAACATGCACAACTAAGATGTTAAATATGGATAATATTATACCTGCTCAGCATGAGCGTGTTATGTTGTTGTTGAGCATACTCGCGTATAGCACAAATGATTTAACACTAGGTTTTGATTTTGATGAATATTCTAACATCTTTGTTTTTGAGAAAGGATACAAGTTATGTCTCAGAGTTGACAAACAAACACAGTTCTGTAGACCTGAAACGTCTGTGTGTTACCTGAACGCTCCTTCGTAGCTGAAGTATGGCTCGTTGTTGCTCATCTCACATTTGTGATTTCCATCACCTTTGCACAGCTGACACAGCGATGCAGGGTCACCCGGCTGGTTTGCTCCGGGGACACAGCTGGCATTGAAGAAATGTGCCACACCTGAACACGCAAACACACGGCTCTCCAGCTCTCTGTATATGTGTCTGTGCATTTCTTTGTTTGTGCGTGTATAGTGCGTGTTTTCCTACCCTCAGGGATGTTGCAGCCCACCACAGACATGTAGCCCTGGTCTATGAGATACCCCAAAGGCATATTCCAGCCAGCTGTTCGGCCTTTACCAGTGTGGCAGCTCTTTTTTCCTGCCAGGTTGTTGATGTTAATGCCGGGATTTGCTTTCTTCACCACAGCAACTGAATAGTAGGAAGCACCGGTTCCTGAGGCAACAACAGCAGTAAAAAAAACTACAAGTTAAAACACAAATCACAGTTCGTGCTATGAGTACTTTGAGAACAATGTACTGTATGACATTTTGGCCTTGAGATCAAGGTTGACTATTTCTCCCTATTTGAAATATCCCACACGGGGGAGCGTGGCAGCAATCTTCTTATTCAACTCTCGGAAAGAAAGAAAATTTCCAGTAGCGCCAAGTTCAGGAAAGTGTCAGGTGACTGGTTCCTTTGACAGAACAGCGTGTAGCGGCATGGACCCGCCTCCTCATCCACATGTGAATCCCATGTAAATGATGTATCTTTGACCACTATGTGTTTTCCCATGTGAAGACTCGAGCCATGTTTGAAAAGTGGTATTAATCATATCCAAAACACACGCATAAAATGAACCTGGCACCATTTTTTTGCTCGCCAAACGTTATAGCAGTTATACTGAATGAGGTAACCTGCCTTCTAATGTGATCATTTTCATTTAGCAGCAAAAGTTTCATTAGTTTATTCCCTTTCCCAACTTTCTCTCTGACTTCTCTCTGTGTGCTTCTTCTATTTCCTGTGACTCTCTTTCAGAAAAAACAAAGCAAAACATCTTACGATCAGGTTTTGATTCACTGGCAGCCATCTTGAAGGAAGCTGTCTTCCCCAGGTTGTAGATGTCAGTGCCGAACATGGACAAAGCATCTGCTTCTTTTTTCTGCACGGAAAAAGATGAAGGGTGTTTCCTCTTTATCAGAGTGATAAAAGACTCACGCTGACAGCCATGAAAAGTTTTTGACAAATTAAAAGTAAGAGAAGACATTATTAAACTTTCCTTCTAAAATAATGAAGTCTAGCTAAATAATCTAAATTGGAATGTCAGATTGTCAAATGAGGTTTCAAAATTCAACTCAAATACACACATTTCTTTAGTTAGTCGTCGTAATAAACAGCCCTGTGTGCATTTTGCTGCTTGCTGTATTGCCTATTATGAAGTGTATTGCGACATACAACGTTAGTTCCTATCTGCTGCCTGATTGTTTGTTCAATCAGTATTTTATTAGCTTTCAGAGTCCTCTAATGATTTGACTGGTCAATGGATTACTAATTTAATGAGATACTTTACAATGCAAAAGACAGATTTGATTCTAATCGTTTTTCATTGTCAAAATCTGACCTGCAGTTTCTGAACGCAGCCCTCGACTGTGGCACCGTTCACACAGCTGAGTGACGGGCGGATGGAGACTTGGGCGAACGACTGCGACATGGCCTCACATTTCCTCTGCTCGGGGTCTGAGACGGTGCACCATCTGATGCTGCTCTGGCCAAACACTGAGAGAGACACACGCAAGCACAAATACATGCTTATTAAACCATTCCATCACTTGATTCGTGAACACATCCTCTGACCATGGCTACATTTGGCTCTTTCAACTGTAACTTCTGCATCAGTATGAGCTACAGGACGGTGCTTCCCAAGTCCTTACATGTTACTTTTATACATTGTGAAATACTGGAGAGTTTTATCCCAATTAAACAAATCAACTAGAGCACTTTTGAGTATACAAGTCAAATGCAACTTTTGCTTCATGAGTGCGCTTATGAAACAGCATTTGGTGAATAGAATGCTGCATACATTATAATTAAACTCATTTAAATAATCAAACACAAACAATAATCAAATGGAAAAATATTGCTACCATGATCAGGCTTAAATATTACTGGCGATCATGACGGATGTTTAATGTCTTGTATTCTTTGCAGTATTTGTGTTGGTTTGATTTCAGATGAATGAAAACGCTTTTGTCATCTAACTGTATAAATGATATCTTACCAGTTTGTAGTATTAGCAGCAGAGCTGCGGCTGTCCTCCACATGGCCATGGCTTCGTTCTCTCTTCCTCTCTCTATAGGGTAGAATTAACCTACTTTTTCCTCTCCTTGTGCTTTATATAATTCCGCTTATTCAAAGTCCAGCTTTTTATCTTAAGGCTCAGCGTAAAGTCCGGGTGCAGAGCTCAGAAGAGGCTATATATATTTTAGTGCTTTATAACTCTACATCTACAGCATGCCCTTCAGGAGTCATAAGACCTTCGGCTCTAACATGTGAACCTCTGTGGAGTTCATGAAGCGAGCCTCTCTGCTGTACCTGGTCCGACACGTCTCTGCTGCCGCTGCATGGCTGCAGGCCAAAGTCCAGACAGAGAGGTCTTTTACACTCAGAGAGCCACACCTCCGCTCTTCAGTGCGGTGCTTTTCCACTGATGGGAAAAAGGAAAAAGGGGATTCATGCAAACACAGCGAAGCCGTTGGTCACTTTGACACGACTCTCACTACGCTGCTGTGAGGAACCAAACCGTGTGTTTACCTGCTGACGTCGCTAACGTCGTCTCTGACTTTTGACTTAGTCTTGTACATGATATTTATATGAAGTTATTTGAAGATGCATTTTGAACCAAGTCTTAAGATCATAAAATGGTTATTAGGGGGGTTAAGGGTCCTAATCTGCTCTCCACCACTGATGTTGTTGGTTTGAATTAGGGCTTCATAATTTAATACACATTTTACTACATAACAGTTTTATAAAAGCTTCAAGGTATATTTAGTTACACTGTCCATAGTGGCATTGTCATCTACACCATATAAAGAAACATGTTAAACAGATACTGTTGTCAAACTGCACTTTGACAACAGTAACAATAATTTAGTTCCTCATTCATCCAAAATAATTTTTTATTTTAGAAATCCCCCTAATGTACTTTTCTGCCATGCAATAAAGAGTCATAGATCAAAATTAGATATAGGATTCTCGCCAACAAAGATGCAGAACTTAGCAGGACTCATGGAGACGTCGTAGCAAGAAGCTGCTTCATTAGAAAATATGAGATAAAATTATAGTGCTAAAATATTTGGGGTGAAACATAATCATAAAAGCATGCAATTACTCTGATCTGTTTATTTGTGTTCACTTTCACACTGGTATTGGGCCAACTATGGACTTTAACTAAGCATAAGTAATGAGAATAATAAAGTTATTTAAACGATTTAAGCCTGTAATGAGAGCAACACCAGAAAATACCTCTGGTGCTTCAAAAAATGCACAATTAAAACCAAACAGGATATATGAGGCAATATAAAAACACAACACAGGGTAAAGCTGGGAACAGTAACAAAGTGGTTGAAACTGACACTAGTTATTTGGGAATCTGTTCACATTGCCGTGATTCATCACTCACAAGACAACGTGCTGGATTAAGGATGACACCGATGTCACATTGCTGCTATTTTCCCTTCTCAAAAGTGTCATCTAATGTCAGCTGACCTGAGAATCTGCTGTCGAATAGGATTGCCTCTCTATAAATGGAAAACTTCACGATGAGCCTTTCCTTCTTACGCAGGTTTACAGGTGTCACGTTGTCTTCACATCCCGAGGTTAATTTTTTGCCAATATTGAACAATCTATGTTTTAGATCGCCTTTCATTCTGCAGATTACAGCCGCAAATTATCTTTTGATTACCTATTGGCTATTGTGACTTCGGATGAACTCAAGGAGAGTGATAACGTCAACCGTTGACCTCACACAATTGAATTAGATGCAAAAGCAGCTGCACGGTAAATGACTGAAGGGGTCAAGGATCTACATATTCTAGGAATGTCCTTAAGGAGTCATGTTTTGTACAATTAAGCAATTAAACAGCTCCAAGCCTCTCAGAGTCCCGAGAAGATGCTTCCCCTTCACAGCCCCAAAGCAGGTAAAGCAGTAAGTATCCACATGTACAGCTTTCAAATAACATGCAGTCACAATTCACAATGCGGAAAGAATAATCATCTCTGGCCGAGGACTTCAATCTCCATAGACTTTTATTCATTTTTTCGTACCAAAATAGGCAGTCAGAGCAGGGATAAATTATAACATTTAGATATAGATCCATCTCTTCAATAGTTTATTTGCATCGGTGCTTTACTCTAACAGACAGCGGCACGGTGCCCCGGCTACGAGCCACAGCCCGTTTCTGTCAACTGACAACACCACCGGGGGGCTGGATTCACACTGAACTACAGACGGAAAGACGTGATTCAGCTTGACATTCTGTGATTAAATATTAAAGCTTTCGAAACACACGTGGTCAAAACTATTTGTTATTTGGGTCAGAGCTTCTCCATTGACCGGCCTTTTAGAACGGTCTTTCCTGTACATCTCTGGTCTCCAGTCAGCTTGGAGGAGTGGTTGGGGGTGTGGTGGGGGCAGATGGGAAGTGGGTGGCTGACAAGGTCCGCGGGAGCTTTGTTACTCAAAGCATCTTGGTATTTCAAATGTTACGGCAAACGACGGGGGTTTTCGTCACGTTTCAGGTAAACGCCATTTGTGACTTCACTCTCTTTCAGCCCCGTTTGGACTCCCTCCACTTGCTGAGGGAAATATCCGGGGTTTAGTCGCTAAAGTAACGTTGTAGGCCGCAGAGCAAAACAATGAACCCCTGTGCAGTTCCATTGAGCTGATAATTATCTGTTGGCATAGCCGCAGTGTTTTCACATTGTCTTTGTCTATTGATACATTGGATTCAGTAAAAACATTGATCAATAGTCACTTTAAGGGAAAAGTCAAATTGCAAACAGCCAACCTGTTGCAGAGGTTTGAAAGTCCAAAGTTATTTTCATGACCACAGAGTAAAAGCCCAGAAAAGATACATTTGGTCAAGACTACACCAGCAAGTAAATAGTATATTTACACAGACTTTGTTATTACAGAAACGCACATTAAAGATACAGTGTAAATGTTTTGTAAACAAACATATAGCCTTAAACCAATCACAAGATATGAAAAATACTGCCCAATGGTGACGTGCCAAGCAAGGGTCATGTAACGGCGCGGACAGCAACAACAGACTACCGCAAAGTTACTGCAGTCCCTGTAAAGCAGGAAACCCAGATTCACAACGGTTCTGGGGCAAACTTTGGACATTAAAGTGATCATGAAAAATCCTTTGTTGCTACAACCCAATGCCGGATGACAGGAAGGAATAGATGTGCCTGCGTCATTGAGCGACGTGTGGAGCACTTCGGTTACAGGTGGAGCCAGTTTCACGTGTCGTTCATGCACACGGGAACAGAAGGCCGGCATGAAGAATCAGTTGACCAGTGGGTCATGAAAGTAGAGTCCACCTGGTGTCTTTCACTACACAAAAATGACCGTGAAGAGTTCCTTAACCTCGTTAGCTCTTTTGAACCAGCACAATAATCAGTGATAGCTAAAGAGAATTGAGCGAATCACACATCCAAATACCTGAAACGCGGGAATCGGATCAACCCTCTCAAGATGCTTTAAGAACCAGCCCTCATTAGTGCAACAGCAGTATGAAGGAAAGCCATAACGATGATGCTGATGCTGATGCTGATTATGATCGTGATGATAGTGTGATGAAAAAGAGGATACAGTGTTTTATGCTGGAGTGCTGGAGGAGGGGGGCTGAAGGCATTGGACAGAGAGGAGGACGAGGGGAGGCAGAAAAGCCCTCGTTTGAAGATGACATGGTTGATACATGTTTGGTAAACAGAGGACTTGGGCCCCTACTTTTCAAACTGCCCAAAATTAAATGTTGGACAAGCAGTCGTCCACTTTCACCTTCTTAAATGGGTGAAAGATTGAACACAACATTATTGGGCAACATGAACAATATCGTACCTGAAGCAACATGTCTAATTTGGAGTAAGATACTTTTTACCTATTTTTCCATTCGTCTGTATTCATCAAGGTGCAAACAACAAGAACATTTATTCTGTTTGCATCACTTTCCATGCATCCTCATTATCTGTTATCAATGTTGCACTGAATTACATCTCATTATTTTTCCAAAAGCAGAACAGTTTCACTATTGCTGCAGTTGAGTTCTCCCGTTGTTTCTTTTTCAGCCCTTCATCCATCCATATTTGCATATTAATGTATTCTAAATATATATATATATATTTCATGTTTCACTTTTTACGTTAGTTTGTACAGACGGTATCGAGGATTTTACACAAATAAAATGTACTTTAAACAGTAAAGTGGTGCAGCATCACATAACTGAGTAAAACTGAACGTGGCAGATGTTTGGTCAATTCTTCTCACTGATTGGCTGTTCCTCCCTTTAAGTGTAATTAATCATCTGATTACTTGAAAGCTACTGAAAAACATTACCCCTCCCCCTGCTGTAAATAGGAATAGAAAGTTTGATAAATATGTCCTAAGATATACTTTTAGAAAATTATTTTTGAAAAATAAGGGCTCAGGGCTCTGAATGGACTCATTATGAGGCTCAATACTGTCTATTTTACAGCTATGTAACTCTTCTACTTTTGATTGAGAATTCCTGCTTGTCACTGGAAATATCAACATGGATCTCAAAGGTAGAAATTTGAAATTATTATTTTCTAGCCATGTCCCTAAACAGTATGATTGTACTATGATTTCATTTTGTCTGTTGATACCAAAATGATGGGCACGTTATTTAGGTTTCTGAAGGGTGGGACATGAGAGAGAGATAGAAAAAGACTAAACAAGGGCAATGTCATGAGGAAAGACAGACGGGAGGAAGATCAACATTTTGTCCCAAAAACATGCTCTTAAAGCTACAGCGTGCAAAAGTCTGCCTCTTGGGGACAATATTATCATTACAAACCCATACATGAATGCATTACCCTTTGTTAATATGAAAACAACAACGACAACGACAACAAGAAGAACAATAACTAAATCAAATCCGATAATGGTACATGTCGCCTTGATTTGAACCTCCTCCTTAAACATTAAGGAACTGAGCGGTAGGAAGATCCACAAATAGGCTGCTGGACAGACATTAGCCCCTCCCACTCCAGGAAGTAGCAGTCCCAGGTAGTCCCCAGCCAGTCCCAGCCAGTCCCACTTCATGTGCTTGTGTTAATCTGTGTGTGTGTGTGTGTCTTTGCAGTAACGTGTGTTTACGAGATAGGGAGAGAGAGAGAGAGAGAGAGAGAGAGAGACGGCCGATATAAGAAAATCAGAGGAGTGGTGAACGTGATTTTGTAGTATGTTTGTGTTTCTTTAAAGTCGCTCCTTGGTGGGCACCCAGATGTAAGGACCAGACTGCTCCTCGACAATCTGCTTCACCTGCGAATACACTTCCTCGAGGGTGGAGCCATGGACAATAGCTGCAGACAGAGAGAGGAGAGGAATCAATATCCAAAAAGAAAAATTACCAAAACATATTACCATGGAAACCCAGGGTGTGTGTAACGTTTAGTCAAAATGTCAACTTAAGGGGGAGTCAGTCACTTTTATTCCAACCACCAATATATAGATTTTTTTGTGAGAGTAGTAATCTAACAGTAATCTTTCCTGCCCAAAGTTCAATGAAAAGATGGAATCTACTCAAAAGGTCTACAGGTGACGGTTGGCAGCATAATGTCCAGTCAGCCTTTGCCAAAAACAAAAAGAAATCCTCCACCAACTCCATAGCAGTTTACCAATTAAAATGTTATACATTAATAGCTGCTGCAACTATTTCGTAACAATCTACACTACATTTGCTGTTAATGCACGTGTGTGTGTGCGCGCTTGTGACTAACCGCTAAAGAACTCTGTGAACTCCTGCTCCAGTTTGACGGCTCTGTCGAAGGTCTTCCTCGCCTGCTCCTCACTGAGACGCTTGTTCATCTCTCTGGAGAGGCAAACAATGTGACATTAATCAGCTGATAAAGGTTTGGTCGTCATGGAACTTCAGGTGTTCATTCCTCTGAGCACTCTTAGCAGCTCCCATTCCTGTTGTGCTGGGAAGTTTGGGCCCGAAAGTAGAGCTGCTGACATTAAAAAATGATTTGAACATCTCCAGTTCCATGACAACCGAACGGGCTCCTTTACAGGACGTTTTCTATGTTGCGGTGGCGGCGTTGACATCTGCGTCACTTACAGTATGTTGTCGACATTGCGTGGTCTAATGAAGACAGCGATGGGATGGAGGCTCGCCAACTGGAGGCGCTTTATTGCGTTCCCTGATACATCCAGTATACAGTGTTTACCCTGGGAGAGAGACACAGAGACCATGTTTCCATTCCATTGTCTACACATCTTAAGAGAAAATATCAGCCGTGTTTTCAACAACTAGTTTGGAGCAGGTGACTTTAGAGGTCGGTGCCATTTGCTTGTCTACCTGTAATCTCCCAGTAGGATGATGTGTTGAGCCTCCTCCATGCTCTCTCTCTCTCTCTCTCTCTCTCTCTGAACTCACCTTCTCAGCGACTTCCTTGACTGACTGTATGCTGGTTCCATACAGGTGGTTGTTATACTGTCCGGCCTCTATGAACTTGTGTTCCTGGATCTCCTGCTCCATGAACTCCCTGGAGGACATGAAGTGGTAATCTCTGCCGTCCACTTCGTAATCTCGCCGCGGCCGCGTTGTGTCTGAGTGTCATAGGTTTTACACAACACAATTCAAAAATAGTTCACTTCTTTGAACGGCTTTTATTGCAGCATTATAAACACAGCGTGTTTCATGAGAAACCTTTGTGGTCTCTGCAGAATTATTCTACGGTTTACTGGTGGGATTCGTCACGTGGCAGATGTCATACTTGGCTGGGCTTAAGATACTCACGTGGGACGCAGGAGCCAAACTTGTCCGGAAACTCAGAGATGAGGTCATCGTTGATCCGATCTTTCATCGGTCCAAGCACGATGACTGGCCGCGTGTAATTAACTGTAATATGCAAACAGAACGCGATCAACTCACACGTAGACGGATGTTAAGTTAACATAATATAACTTAGACACATATATTAGACTCATAATTGTATGTGGGTGTGCTATTAAAGGCCTTCAGTAACTATAGTTCCCAAGTCTGGGTAACTTAAAAAGACATGAAATGAAGGTGCGATGTGACGTTTGGCACTGACCCTCTTGCTGCATGACAGGTTGGTAGGTGAGAAGGATCTCCTCCTGGCCAGCTGATCGCACAAAGACAAACAAACACATTCAGAGGCACAGCGGGATTATTGACAACAAGTCGCATCTGAACCTTTCCTAGTTTTTGCATGGAACAGCTCGTCTGGCTGGAGAAGCAGAGAAAGGTAACTTACACACAAACACACACACACACACACACATGAGAACACAAGAATCACAACACACAATAAATACATGTGCATGTATGCGTTTCACATCACCACATACACAAGGGGAAACCAACACATAAACAAACAAATTAAATAAAAACTGAACAAAAACGAGAAGAGAGAGAGAGAGAGAGAGAGAGAGAGAGAGAGAGAGAGAGAGAGAGAGAGGAGGGTCTAGACTTACAGCAACTACTCTCACTATCGCTGGTGCCAGAGGTTACCAGCTCTGGAAGGACAAGACAGGACAGAGTCAGCAACACACACACACACACACATACAAACACACAGATTCAAACAAAAACACATTACATGACTCGACTTACATGACTTACATTGTTTCTATGTCACACAACCAGACACACCTTCGCTTATGACAGAAAACATCGGACCGACAAACTCAAACATTGATTCAGTAATCGTAATCCTGGTTTAGGTGAGCAGGAGGCACGAGCCTCTCGCAGCACACAATCCCAAAGGCATCACAGCCTCAACGAGACAACAAAGTTAACCGCTTTCTTCAAAATGCCTATTTTTTATCTCATTAATGACCTCCAGAGGGGAAAAAAGCGAATATTTGGCCATTAAATATTGTACTTTTCCGCATATAATAAAGGAGTGATTCTGAATGTAAAATTGGGGGAATTGAGAGGGACTCCTTAAATAAACAGAAGGAGTAGAGGTCCCAAAATGCATCTAACTAGCGTCTTTTAAGTATGTTACTCAAGTACTAAACGCAGATACAATTCTGAGGTATATGTGATATACTTAAATATTCTTGTCTTATGCTGCGTTGCACTCACGGAAAGTGGCCTTATAAGTCAAAATGTACAGTTCTTTAATCTAAAATCTACTTTACGGTCCATTTCAGTTCCCCCTCTTCCTCCATCTCCACCACACTCCTCTTCCTCCACCCCAGAACCGGTTGGATGAAAAGGAGTTTGAGGAGGTGGAGAGGAAAGATGAAGGCGGAGGTGAAAGGAACCGCAGGGTCCGCTTCGCTGAAAAGCTGAAGTTACATATTCTGACCAGCAGGTGTCCCTGACGGAGCGAACACCTACCTTTGTCATCCTGATCCTGGAGAGGGAGAGAGGGAGAGAAAGAGAGGGAGAGAACATTAAACATCATCCTGAAGATTATCATGACACTATCTCGACTGTTATCAGCAGAAGCACAAATTGAAAGCTCACAGATTCTCTTTTCCCATCACAACACTAATTTGCAGTGTTTTGTCAGATTACGGAGACAGGGGATCCGGCACAAAAGTGTGTGTGTGTGATCATTTTTAATTATCAGCTTTTCAGCGAGCAGAGTTGCTGATTGACGCAGTGCGAGAAATAGAAAAAACCCCACAGTGTTGCTGAGCTGACGAGGCGGTGATATCAATAGCTGGTGTGAGACTCACGTGTCAGCGCTGATCGTCACGCTGTGTGAAGTGTGATTAAAGTCTCACCTCGACTTGGCGCTCAGACCGGAAACCTTCTATGTGACAATTATCAAAGTAACAGAACGCTGGTTTGTACTTTAATTGATGGTTAACCTGCCTACACTTTTCCTAGTAAGTAATTCAGGCATTAAGAATAGTTTGTAGACATTTTCATAAGACATTAGATACATCTTATAATTTTATTTGATTTAAGTATATATTTGTTCACTTATATTACGATATATAATCATCAGTCATATGTGAAGCTAACTGCACGAGCGTGTACGCTCTGTGCTATAAAAACCAGGCACAATTGATTGATTGTTTGGATTTCAGACTCTACCAAAGAATCTCCGATCAAATATTCATAGCACACACTCTCTGAGTTACAGCAGTAGGTGGATTAATATTGTAGTCTCCAATATGAACTGGTTGGTTGGTTTAGTCTCATATTGTACTGTCCTATTCACTGTAAACACTCAACGGCTTGTGTGCTAGATGCTGTGTTTAATCTGTTTAACCCTAATTTCCATATACGTAACGTTTACTTCGTTTTTAATACACAATGGTCAGAGTACTTCAATGTTTTCTATTTCTCCAAAATGTAAATAAATAATACATTATTGTAAATTATTCTACTTCTTTTATTTTTATTTATTTGTTTATTTTCTGTTTGTTAGTCTCTCTGTGGAGCTAAACAATAATTCCACTACACGTTGTTGTGCATGAGACAAAAAATGTGATCTGACTTAAGTGTTTCTCACCTTTAGATCGCGTGAATGGGAAATGGCAGAAAGTGGCAGAAAGTTTTAACATTGCTATGTGGAAGTATTGTTTCAGACCAGTAGTTATGAATACTAAAGTGGGCACGGGAAACAAAAAGTAACACAATGTCAAACTTCCATTTGCACCTGGTTTAACAGCATCTTCACCAGTGGAAAGCGGTCATTAAAAATGTAACAGGTTTCCATGTTTTACGTTGCTGTTTTCTGATTTAAAGGGTTTCATCTACACTTTGGTTTTACTGTTGAATGTGAAAAAGAGGAGGAGTGTTCTGACTTCCAAACTCCGGGCTGGTCTGCACGCCAACACCAATGAGGTTAACATTTAAGGGACCAAACATCATTTTAAAGTTTATAATTCAGTTGCTACTCACCGATTTGTCTTGAGACCTCGTCACTCTGACCGTCTTTAACCTTGACCTCTCCTTTTTCTCTGCCCTGGGAGAGGGAAGGACAAGAAGATACATGGTTTGAATCTATAACTGGATTATTATAGCCAGGCACCAGCCTGCAACACCTCCGTCCATCAACCCCACCACCTACACTCTCGTGTGACACGCTCTACAGCCAACCGCTCACTCGCACTAATCCTCGTTACCTCTGTTCCTTAACACTTAACGCTCCATCCTCGTCACCTTTCCACCTGTCAGGTCTAAGTCTAAATCTGCTCTCTCCACCTGGGGAACTTATCAACGTCTGTCTGTCACCTCCTCCGCTGGGAAACCAGCGGGAGGTGAGAGGGAAAAAGTTTCCACCACAGGTTTACATTCAGCAGATTCCAACGATGCGTTATGAGTGAGCAGCATCTAACGGAAACGGAGGCGATGACGAGGGGAGAAGGGAAGATTGTGCACAGCACTGATGTTCAGGCTCCCTCACCAGGCTCAGGAATGATACTAACTTCTCTCCTGGGAAAAAGTTGCATGCTGCAGTTGAGAGGACTCAACTGAAGCCACGCGAGCGTAGCTTTAACTGTCCACCCAGCTCACTGACAGCAATCAATGAAATCAACAGGCCACTCCCACACCAAGCCCTTTGCCCTCTGACCTCCTGCGGCTGGGGATGACTCCGACTTCGGGGCAGTTGGGAGGCGGGGGGTTGAGGTGACGGGCGGGCCACCACTCCTCTTCGCCGGCGCTGCTCACGTGGAGGACATCCCCGAAATGGAACGGCAGCACCTGATTGGCCGTGCTCAGATCTGACGCACTTCCGTCGTAGTCGAACAACGCTCTGCAGAAACAAAGAGAAACAAGCGCCACACACGTTTAGTCCAAAACAAAAACGTTATGTTTGACAACATTAGTCGGCTGGATAGGACGGAAGCAGCCTGATGATGTCGCATTCATGTAGTGATATTGATCTTGAAATGCACGTCTCCTGATGGCTTCCACATTTCTCACACTATCAAGCACAGCTTCAAATCTGTAAAAGAGCGGAGGGCTGCTTCACGACACTAATATTTTATGACGCTGTCTGTGTTTACAAACCTCTGTGTGTTGTACACATCTGTCTGCATGCATGTTAGTTTGTTTGTGTGCATTTGTGTGTGTCTCTGTGTGTGTGCGTGTGTAAACAGTGACCACAGAGTTCCAAACCAGTCCAGAGGGAAAAGAGCTGGAAAAGTAGGCCAGCAATATGTGTGTGTGTGTGTGTGTGTGCAAAGGAACTAGAGCTGAAATAACTGGCATCCCCTGAAGTCCCTGCTACTTCATCAATAAAACAGAACATAGACAGGGAAGCAGGGATGGAGAGTGAAAGTCAGACAGAAGACGTGGACACAGGGAGTCTCCTGTTTAATTGATGTTAGATTAAAGATGAGAAACGTAAGACCTCCCCACGGGACATCATATATTTAGTTGGCTGGTAAAATGTGACTTTATGAGCCTTAAATCAGATGAAACAGGACCATCAGGCACCATCGTAATTTCAGAGTCACTTCTAAAAAGTTTGGTAATAATTACAGCGGGAAAAGGGCAACAAATTAAAAATGACACAACAAAATAATTTGCTTATTCGTGTGCTGTACAAACCCACATCTATTGCCAAAGTGGTTTGTGTTACAATGTCGTCACGGTTACAAGAAGAACCACATGGTCATTGTTATGGGTTAAAAAAATGAAACGAATGTGGGTGTAAAAACAACCATACAAATGGACAAATGATGGATACTGTGTATTATTATTAAGTCCACAGCTACGTTAATGTTACTGCAACAAGTTGTCAGAGTTACAGCCATGCATTTCCTATGTGGGAATCATAGTTGTTTCGACTGAAGGAACACACAGTTATTACAGCAGTGTGTGGACTGGCTTCCCCCAGTGGATGTGTTAACCTGTTTGGATATATGTGTAACCTTAAATATCATGTCTACCCAAACAGTATTTCAGTACAACCTCTCGTTGGTTTTACTGTGTATTTATGTATGTATGCATCTATATCGGCGGGGCTGCGGATATTTTGATTAAGGGGCAGCTGTCAGGCGGTACAAGACCCTCCTTTCCTTCCTTATGTTACCAACATAGAAATATGGTAGAGTAAGAGAGTTCTACAAATCCCAAGGAAGTTACACTGAGTGATGGTTATTATTAAGGCCACATGTTAATGTACCTCTAAATTAATTACCAGCTGTAAGTATAACAGCCATTTTAATTCTGCTGTGGGACCCTCTGAAAATGTCATTACCCAAGTGAAGGATCACACAGTAATTACTGCAGTGTGTGGAAACACCTTTTACCAATTCAAACAAGATACTGCTTCTTTTATTTTACAGTCAGGAGCCTTTGGACTTGAATGTGAACAAATGAAAGGGCATCTACAAAACAATAAGTAAGAACATAATACTTTGGTATATGTCCTTTTAAATGTTCAACTTTTTTTAAATAATACTATAATTGGATAAAATAGAATATATTCTTAGAATAATATCCAAACAAGATCAAACAATAAACATAAAAAGGCCCTTAGCAATATTCTGTTCCAAGTATCTAAAGTATCTGTCCGAGGGTATTTTGTTTGCTTAAATTGAAAATTGATATACGCACTAGAAAACTGCAGATATAGATTTACATTGGTTCAGCACTCATAACCCCAAGCAATGAATCATTGTTTTCTTTTATAAATTATATAAATACATGTTCCCTGCTTCAAAATTAAACCTTAATTTAGAAAATGATAAGACATCTATATTATGTATATGATATACATTTGAATAAAGGGAGGATTTTAGCATTACTTTGTAGCTATCCCGGCTTTTTGAGTGAATCTATGTAGTGTATAAGGCCAGTGCTGACGAGACGTATTTAAAACACAATATTAAGGTGTAAAGTAAGAGGAAGGGAGACAACACACACACACACACCTTTTACACAAAGGACAGTCATAGAGGTCACCTCGCTTCAGTGACATTTCCTCTGAGGAAAGGTTAGTGTTCTCACCCATTATGCATACACAGCAAACAGCCCACAATGCACATGCATGAACACACCGGAGGCCAGAGAGACACCCCGAACCTGCCACGAACAAACAGCTGCACCTCCACCGATGAGTGTTACTCCACTGTCCTATATGCCCTTGACATGACCCCTGCTTGATTTTGATAAGACTCGGAGCAATGTTGTCATTCAAATTCATCATGTAAACTGAAAGGTGGTGTCAGTATAATTAGTAAAATAAAAATAATGGTTGTTTTCTTGCAGACGTAGGCCTTTGGACTGAAAAGTTGGGTTCTATCATTTTGTTTTGGTTTATGAACCTGCTGTTTTGGTTTTGACGGTTTTCTATACATGATTAAATGAAATACATGAAAAATACACTGTAAAATATTGATTCAGTCAATAATTGAGTCACACGTCTGTAACTGCTTTCTAAGCAAGTACATCCATGGATTTTATTTGTATAAAATGTATTTAATTTGATTTGATTTAAAAAAAACTATCACAATCTATCTGCTAATTAAATTACAAGTTCCAAAGCATATCACCACACTCATGTGTAAGCATGCTAGTGCAAGACCTTTCTGGTTTTCCAAAGGCCCTTTTCCCTTACATTACAAAGCCAAATAAAAACAGCGGGTGCACAGTGCACACTTCTGCTAATGATAGCCATGCCTCTGGGTGACTGCTTTAACTATACAACAATGTTGATGGCAATTAGCTGCAATGTCATGTTTCCATATGTATTTATATTAAATCTACAGCTCACAAACAGGTGCATTTGTTTTAATGGTGGGTGTGCTGAATAGGTCAATCCAGGTTTTAAAAGTAACTGTGGATTTAACGAAATAGAATAATGTTTTAGTCACACATTCAATTAAATTGCTAATTTGCATCAATGAATTGGCTTATGGGAGTCAGTCTCTGTGAGTAGTTTCAAGGTAACCTGGTGCAAGCTGCCGCCTCAGGCACTTTTTTAACCATTATTTAAATACACACCTACAAAAACGTTTTGATTGAAATTACTGACACTACGACCATAGTGCTCTTTGACAACATGTTAAATCCTTTTCAATTGAAGCCGATTGAAACGCACTAAAATGTGTCACTGCCTCTTTCAAGACTAAGCAGTGGATTTCATCATTGGTGGGATCATTAGAGCTAATGCCTTTTGTTTTGATTTATCAAAAGCTCCATTGTGATTTATTTAGTGCCGGCAATATTTAAACTGCTGTGATTGTTGTGAAGAGGGAATCTGAAAACTGTTGTTGGCTTAAGACTGACACTGCGTCTGGGCTCCAGGGAGGACGGACGTGTGATTCAGAGAAGAATGAACAATCAGGACAGGCAAGGACAAGAGGACAGAGCAACACACAGACACACAGGAGATGGAGAGAGTTGACATTCAATGGGTGCGTTTCTGCTTTCCTCAGTATTTGCCACCAAATCTAATTGTGATTTTAAATGCGATAACCTCTCGTCCAGCTTCTGAGACCCACAAGACGTAGAGCGGACAGTTAAGATAAGACCTTATAATAGTTGTATCACTCTGAAGGACACTAGACAATCAGTCACCTGAATGCTGCGTGTGTGTGTGTGTGTGTGTGTGTGTGTGTGTGTCTTACCGGACGTATAGTGTGCGTTTCTGTGTGGAGCGGAGCGATGTCGAGCTGGAGCTGACACTGCTGGTCATCATCTGTTCCCTCAAGTCATGGATCTTCGCCTCGAAACGACTGTAGTCTACAAACACACACACGCGCACACAGAGACACACACATTGACACTCTTTTAGATCCAGCAGATAGGTATAAGCAGGTTTTAAAAAGGATACTTACACAAAGCACTGAAATATAGACAATCTAATTCACAAGCAACACGTTACTCCATCAGAAGCAGCTGAGCAACAGTGATTTTCTTTACGCTTCAATCACATTTGCTCGGTAGAAATGTCATTACGGTTCGATGATCAGTCAGAGGCATGAACAAACACAGCGCTTTAAGGGTGGCAGAGGCTTTGTGCTCAGACTTAACCACAACCTACAAATGGAGTCCAACGAGAACAAGATGCATTTTGAAAATTGCAGGAGATTTGTTTTCCTTGTAGAATTGCAGTGTTGGACTACCCGTTTTCACCAAAATCACCCACACACACAGACACACAAATGTATCCATATGCAGACAAAAGCATTAAACTGTCGACTCAGTCTCTGCAGCCATAATCTAATAGTCTGTTTGATCTGAATATTAACTCCAGTTGCATCAGACCCAGTCAGTGTCAATATCATCATACACACACCGCGCACACACACACACACACACACACACACACACACGATGTTTTATTATTTATATGTACAGATATCAGAATGTATTTATTTTGACAAATCCATCCATGGGTGTCAATGCAAATATAATAATAGGTTTAGAGACCTAAGGGCCTTTTGAAGGCAAATCAGGTGTAACTGATTGGACGGGAGGAGTTAGTTCATTGGGAGTATCCTAAAACACAGAGGTAAAGAAGGTGCACAGAACACTACTGAGTTAAGTGCACAAATAACAATGATTCAATGGTAAATTGTGGGAAAAACGGAAACAATACTGTTAACCCATGTGACTCGTGACATGACGTCATTGGTGCAGGAGTTAGTGAGCTAGCTCATGTTTGCTCATTGGCTAGAATGTGTTTAACAGATGTGAGTCAAGTCAAACGAGCACAGCATCCTCAATACAGCCATGTAAACATTTCCTTATACATGTGGAAAAATCGAATTTTACAAATTAGGATTCGTTTTCAAACAGGAACTCCAGCCTTAATTGCGAGAAACTACTAAATCTCCCTCCCACTTGAATGACAAGTAGTAAATTGCAAGAAAGCAACCAGTTGGCCAATCAATGCAGAGTGCAACGGTTTGCTCCAACACTCAGCAGAGAGTTTCAGTATCATCCTGCTGCATGCTGCAAAAACGCTTTAGTTGCTCACCCATTTTTTTTCTTGCAGTCCAAAAATGTCATTGTGCCTCATTAATTCTAAATGTACGTTCTTCATTGAATTATAGAAACAAATATGCATTCATGGCTTCTCATCATGTTTCCCCCCCATCAAAAATATATAAACATATAGTCAGTTTCTGTCTCAAAGTATAATGTAGATGAATAAAGTAGATGAATAAAGTAAATCTTTAATGACTTTCCTTTAGTCTCTTTAACATCACACAACTTCCCAGAAACCTCTTAACTAACACAAGGATGACAACGCCGAAGGCCAAGTGCTTGCAAAAGCCCTTCTGAAGGATGTCTGGACGTATGAGTTTGCGTGTGTGCGTGTGTGTGCGTGTGTGTGTGTGTGTGTGTGTGTGTGTGTGTCTGTGTGCGTGAAGCAAGAAAGCAAAGCAACTGTGGACTGTCGAATCTAATTAACCCTGAGTAATTCAATCACACTCGAGGTACACTACACACACACACACACACACACACACACACACTACACACAGATCACACAGATCTAGAACCTGCAGAATCTCCTGTCTGTTCCTGCTTTTCTCCCTGTTTCTGTTCACATGTCCTTGTTTACATCTCTACTGACACACTCAGCATCTGAACACTACCAAAAACCAGCCCACAACACCCAGATCTCTGCTCTGATTTGCCCCAAAGCGATAATTAATCTGATGCATTGACATTCACACCTAAACTGAACTGTATTAAAACAGCTCCACTTTTAAAACGAGCGGAATATTTAGAGCAACAATTTCCTCATTAACAACTTCCTCAGCATTATAAGTACCACAATACCAAAATACGTTGTACATAGAAGCACAACTGATTAAAATGTTGGGATTAAAATGCCCTTTTGCTGAATTCTTTTATTTTTCTGCTTTAATCTCACATATTTTCATTGTCATTTTCTATCCCAACTGTAATCTATCACAGATGTATGGATTAACGCTTCTATTTCTGGACACACCCCACCGAATGCTCACGAACGTCAATATCACCAGATACTGTATGGACTTCATCATCATCAGCAGCATCTGACGGTCTTTGTCACCGCACGTGGCCTCACTGCAGCATTATGGGATTACGAGGTAGAGAGTCAGAGAGGGAGTGAAACAACAGCACAGAATGAGGAGAGGGAGACGAAACAGATTAATGTATATTCTGTATACGTGTATTCCAGCCCAATCTGATACATAAGGTTTCTCAAGGAGAGGCAGTGAATAGATGATGTAGAGCTACAGAGAGTGGACGTGATCAATACAACAAAGGCTGCGTTGCAGCTATAAGAGGTTAGTGTTATTGAGTCCCGAAGAGGAGAACAAAGCCATGGCTGCAGCTCCGATCATCTGCTACTTTCTGAACAAAGCGTGCGGAGAAGTCAGAGTAAAGCTTGATCATCTTTTTTTAAGTCTAAAAAACAAGATCCAGCGATACCGTAAAAGTACCACAGTTGGGAGAACCCAAACTGTTCTTACTACTACTGTACTTAACCGCAAATGATTCCTCACCACGGATTCTCACGTAAAGTCATGAGTCCAAAAAAAGAGTCAACATGTCAATGCAGCATCACTGTTACCAGAGGGAAAACAGTGTCACCAGATCACCTGCCTTTTTCCCTCCCAATTTCTAATGGAGAGACGATAACAGATCAGGTCCAGCTGTACTCACATGCTGCTGGCAGACTGGCTCAACAACGTCCACACCATATGACGCCGGCACGGTGGCCCTCGGATAAGTGGCTGTGCATGCGAGAGAGGCGTTTCGCCGCTTAAGAGTCCCGGGATGTGAATGAGGAAAAAAAAACAGGACGAGAGCGCGAGAGAGCAAATGTGTGTGTGTGTGTTAAAGACAGAGAGGTGATCTTCAGCCGGCTCCACGTTGCATCCAGCATGTGAGCCAGTGAAATCAAATGTGTGTAGGTATGGAGAAGTGTGTGGCACAGAGAGGATGTGTGTGTGTGTGTGTGTGTGAAATCAGTCCAGTGTTGCTCAGCTGCCACAGAAACAACAGATGCTCTCTCTCTCTCTCTCTCTCTCTCTCTCTCTCTCTCTCTCTCTCTCTCCTGCGCTCCTCTCTTTCCCTATCTCCTGTTCGCTGGTGCGTTCGTTTGCTCCTCCCCCTCTTTGTAAGCAGCTTGCTGTAGGGCAGAGACACACACTTGCGCTTGCGTGGATGCGTGCGTATCGATGCGCGCACACACGCACACAAACACACACACCCCCCGACAGACACACACTCCCTCAGGTCACTCATGCAGGAGGCTGAGTCGATGCCAGGCCCTCCTGCCCTACTTCGGTCCAGGGAATTGTTCTACCCACACACCCACGGTAAAGCTTGACCAAGCATTTTGAAAATTGATTTTTGGGAATTTAAAGCTCAATTCATATTCATGAAATAGACTCTTCATTCATTTTGTATGGACACCACAGAAAAAAAGTCTAGCATCTGCCTTCATGTGTGGGAGGACTTTCTTCTACTTCCGTGAAGCTCCGTTTTAAAGACTTTCCTTTCTCTGTCTCGAAACTGGTTTCCTTTTCAAGGGGTTCAGGTTTCTGAAAAATTGTTAAAGTTAGTAAATCATGCTGTAGGTCAAATAGCTACTTTCTTTCTCCGACAATCTTCATCCCCACAAGTGATACGGTAAATCGCCTTGAAATCATCATCAGTGAAGTTCCACGTGATCAGCATGGTTTCTGCCAGCACGCATCATCTCATTGCAGCATTATCAGATTACGGGGTGGGGGGGAGACAAGACATAATGGAGAGAGAAACAGAAAAGGGAGAAGAGAGGAGGAGGAGAGAAAGATACGGGGGAGGAGTGATGACAGAGACTAATGACTTTGGGGCTCAATATACCCTCCTTTCCTCATTTACCTCTTGTCTCCTCTCCTCTTGTCTCCTCTCCTATCCTCTCCCTTGAGGAGCATTGTTCCTCCATTCAGCAGCTGGCAAAGACCTTTTCTAACATTGTGCAGCTTCAGTGCCCACTGGAAACCACTGGAGACGGCAGTTCTTACCTTTAATGGGCATTGCACCAACATTTCCCTTTCAGATCAGCATTTCTCAAAATGAATCTCATCCATTTGAAGGAAAATGCATGCAATGTAGACAACCTACATACAAGAACATGTCTTTACTTCTTATTTCATGTCAACATGATAATCACAAGTAATTTGTATTGTCTGTGTCACATTCAAGTGACACTGTGTCACTGTGTGCTTAAAAGGTAGGGAAGGAGATGACTACAAAGTTTGAATATTTTCAATATTAAATTGGGATTGAATAATCTAAACAATGGCTTGACTTTGTATTTAAGCATCAAGTAGAAGTCCCTCTTGTCTCTGAAAATAACATTCCTGGAGGAGACTCATCTATAATTAATAGAATACTGTAGAGTAATCTTTATTGGTATTGATTACCGGATCCGATTGCAGTGGAGTCTACAGACGACAAAAAAAAGACCAGACGGGAAAAAGAGCAAAAATAGCAAAAGGTTTTTAAGTTGATGTAGGCCTACTGGATTAAAGTTTAAAAGCCTGGAGAAAAAAAAACAGCGTTTTGTCTTAAATAAAATCCACTAACATGGCAGCACGCTGCAAATCTCACATCATCACCTTTCCCATTTACCACGGACACAATCAGCACCGGAGAGGAGCGGAGGCTCTGCCAGCCGGACGGTAAGGACAGAGATGTGGAAAGAAAATGATGCATAGCGGCCTACTGTATTTATTCAGCAGATATTATTCCCACAACTTTGTGTCTAAAAAGAGTTGCTAATCTTCTACGTAACAACTGGTGTGCACACACCCACAGCAGGGGAACAGAAGTGCAGATAATCCTCTCTGCATCACCTCAGTATTACTGCTGCTGCTGACAGCCGCCGCCTTTGTGCGTGTCGTGTGTATGCAGTGTGTGTGTGTGTGTGTGACAGTGTGTCTCTGGGATGGTTGTGGGTAATCCTGGTTACTCATACTGCTGTCAACCTGCAGGCATTAACAGTCCCACGTCACAACACTTTTGACACAGGAGGAGATCATAGTCAGTACTGCGACATTTTAGAATGTTTTCTCTTCAGCTGCATCGAACTTGTCGTCCATGCCTGAACACTTTTCAAAAAAAGTTCCCCCGGTGTTGCATCTATTTAGGATTCAGACTTGGGTGAGGTATTAATTGAATGTATTACCAATACTTTAACTTTGCATGTTTGGTTGTATGTTAAGAAAAGCTTTGCGGGCTCAAAATACACTCATTTGAGTGTTGATATCTAGCATGTTGTCATGGTAGTTTATTAAAGTTGAATATTATTACTTCCCTGATATCCTAACATTACTGAGAGCGCTGACAATACAAGGACAGCTCTTCTTGACGGAGATTCAATATAAATTCTGTCATTTTAATGTGCTAATTATTAATAATTCACCACAATTCAAGCAACCTTGATTCTGTACCAAATAATGTCTTACAAAAAATCCTGCAGAAGGATATTTTGGAGAGAATCCAGTCAAACAGAGTTGCCTGGCAAAATGCATACAAGTTTGGGAGCATTGCATTGCATAAATTGGCTTAAAATAACCTGAAACATGATGGCTGATGTCAGCCGTTCTTATGCAGAATGAAGACTTTCACAGACCAAACTCTCCATCTGCTTTACTTCAAATGAACGGATCTATTTCTGCTGGATTGATTAAATCAGCTTCCCGATTTAGCACACGCCCCACGTGGAGAGCTGTTTGTGTGTTTGAGTACACAAGGTGCCGTATTTAATACAAATAACAGGAGGAGACCTGCCCACTCACGGCGAGAGAGACACCTTTCCTCTCCTGGTGAAGGTGATTTCGAGCTGCTCTCTCATTGGCAGGAAGTGAGTGTGTGAAACAGAGCGGGCGCTGCTGGACACCGCATGCCATCTCCACGGGAAGGGGAAAAAATGGATCGGAGATGGACAAACATACACATGCATACACGGTGCCGACCAAAGCCCAGCGTGGACAGAAGGTCTGAGATAAGAGTTCATTCCACAGTCACTAATCAGAGTCACGACACTGAAAAACAAACGCACACGAAAACAGGACCCACACACAATCTTGCCGAATGTATCCTTTTTGAGGACGAAATGACAAAATCAGAGAATGCTGAAGTGAAATTAAACCTTGACGTTTAATACCAGACGTCGTCTGCTCTGAGACAGCTGGAGCCACATGGATAACTTCTCTCTGTGGTCAACTCTATAATAATACAGCATTGCAAAAAGAATTCCAAAAAGGAGCTGGAGCAAGCCAGAACCACAGACCATCACACCACTGTCACTCATTCAATTGTCAAGCATCTGCAAGATTTAGAAGGAATGTTTCAGTTTAACCAAAAAGAAATAACCAAAAATCCAACTGACCCATAAGTAAGAAACCTCCTTGAAAGAGTTTGCTCCTCTGTGGAGTCTTCAATGGTAAACTCGACCCATTTCACCTACTCAGCAGCCTTCTCTGCTATTCATCCACACGTTCAGTATAGTATGTTGTAAAAGCACAAGAAATTTAGGTGATTTTTGGTTTCATGATTTTGTCGTTTTACATTAATTTGTCAGTCTTCTGTCGATGTATGGAAGAGGTGTTTCCACGGAGCCAATCAAATAAATGCATTTAGTAATAATAGCTTTAGATCACGAGGGAGATTGTCTTTCCTTATGAAGTATCTTATCTCATTTACAGACATGAACACGTATTGTCCCGCGCTTTAGCTTGTCGAACGAGCCACAAAAATAAAGTGCACCGCTAATGTCAGTTTCAGACTAGATAGCTTCTTAGATCTTAAGTTGCAGCACATTAAATATTATTTAAAGTCTGGTTACCGACTGTTATCACAAATAAAATTAAATGTATCCTGTCTGTACAATGACATTCATACAGCTTGTCCCTTGTTTGCCTCCCAGAGGTTAATCAAACACAAATGAGGCCCCCTTGCCAGCTGAGACTAAAAGGAGCATTTCCGATATTCCCCCAAAGGCTGTTCTGCCTTTTAATAATAAATCAACTAAACATTTATAGAACACCGTGATTGTAGGGAGGGATGACTAAATGTCTTATCAGTTGGCCATCTTTGAAGGAGCCATGTGTGGTGTGTTTGTGATCCTCAGAGACCAACCAATCATTTGAACTTGAACACGTAATCAAGCAGAAACGTAACTTTCTGCTTGATTAGGAATTGAATTTCATGTGTGTGATGAGAGTTTTCAAATGTCTGTCTAGCCTATTAGCCTATCTAGGCTCCTACTGCACTTAGTTGTCTGGTGTTACACTTAGACATAAGACAATTATAGCTATTATAGCTATATAGTCACAGACACTTGTACAAAGTTACTATTCCAGTGATCAGTGCAGAGGAGACGGCCAGTATTTCATCTCAACAGGTTCTGTTCAGCAATTCAGAAAAACAAATAACTAATGAATGTGGACATGAATGCAATATAAAGTGTGAACCGCTGACTTTACTCTTCAAAATAGCAATGAACTTTCAATATGTCAATATTGTGGAAATGTTAGTTTAGAATTAAAAAATCAAGGGACCATCTCTGAGATTCACAGCACCATGACAACATCATTTCTTAATGGCATTTAACTGACATGAAAACAAACTCCATTGAGAATCTTTATTTAAATATACACTTTCTAGTATGGTCTTTTATTCTCTATACATTATTATTTACTTTTGGCATGGTGTATTGATTATACCCCTGTGCTGTATCTATAAGATTCCAAACATTTGCATATGATAACTCCTGGGGAACATTATTACGTTCTGACTTTGCCTTCCACATCTAAATTAATTGTGCCCTCTTCTATTTCGGCAAGCATTAATTTGCTTCAATATCTGGGCTCCTTGAGTATTTACATCAACGCTAATTACTGTGCACCATATCTCTGATATTTTGGCTTAAACTCCTCTCTATAAAAAAAATCTAAAACTTTACATTAAGCATATTTATTAAAAAGAAAAATAACTTTCTTCTCCTGTTGACAAGTGTACTATACTCTGGACTCGACTACAACAACACCTCCATAGAGCTGCTCTCGACTTAATAATACAGTGCTGATACCAGTCAGGGACCAGGAGACATGCACCTATGTGCATTTGTCTATGCGTTGTGCGCACAACGGCATCCCATTAGCTGAGCCGATCAGCGGGCATTACCTTGTTTCCAAGGTTACAGCCTTCTCAGTCACTCCCAGTAGACAAAGGATGCTGCTTGTTTGCAAACCTCAGTCCGTCTCTCAGTGTGTTTGTGTGTATGTGTGTTTGTTTGTTGCACGCACGGGAAACTTTAAATCTTTCAGTTTAGAAAAGCACGAGAAAATGTCCCGTTTGAGCTGTACTCACCCTCCGGTCTGTACTGCGCTACTATGGTAACGGTCTGTCCTGCATTCTTCAGAGCTGCGGCTGCCTGTTCATGTGTCGCACTGGACAAGTCCACGCCGTTCACCTACACACACACACACACAACCCACAATCCAAGCTCATCAATAGTAATACATGCAGAGGGAAATGAGCCATTGAGAACACTTTACATCTTGGTAACATTTTGTTAACTGCATGTACTTTCATTCTTATACAGTCACAGTCATTCTGTAGAAATGATCATTGCCTCTAAAGTCCTGATTGAAGAAAATTAAATCCCCTTTTCACATTAGTGTAACACCAAATACAGCTTGAACAACTAATCGGCAATCAGCCATTAGTGGTGACTGGTAATGTGCAGAGAAAATAGTATTTCTTAGATGAAAACACTGATGAATGTAAGATCAATTTCAGATCAAATTCAAAATAGTCAACATCAGCAACAATTTCAGTTATTGTGTAATGTAACCTCATGAGGTTCTAAAGAAAAATAAACACGCTGACTCGTTGATAACCCTACGGTATACAATCTTTACAGGGATTACATTCGTATTTCAGTCATTAATAATGGTGATCGTGTTTTGTTTATTCTTAATATACAGTATCAGTTAGGGTTGAATTGTGGCTCATACCGACAGGATGCGGTCTCCCTTTTGTAGCTCCCCACAGAGATCCGCTGGACCTCCGGCGAGAATGAAGGAGATGAAGATTCCTTCTCCATCTTCCCCTCCAACAATGTTAAAACCAAGACCTGTGGACCCTCGCTGGAGCACCACCCGCCTTGGGTCCCTGGAAGAGACACAAATATAACACACACAGTGTGATGATGGTATTCAGTTGTCAGTTTTACAGTCGTCATCACATTTTCTGTTGTAAAACCTGTTAGACCATAGCGAAAGATCCAGTTACATGGATGAATGTATGGAAAGGTATGGTAAGGTAATATATTATATCTGTGTTACAAGCCTATGGCTTCCTGATAAATGTCTGTCTCAGTGGGAGGAAAGATCATTTCCACAATCATTCCAGGATAATTACCAGCAGGTGTCAGTATTGCACTGTCCCTGTTTTGCTCCACCACCATGGCAACAGTTCTTACTCAGGTTAGACATATAACCATTTGACTTGATTAAAATGTATTTGTATATTTTAATGTTTTTTTTTGACAGTGCCAATAGGAAATAATCCCTCCAAAAACTGAAAGTCTTTGGCTGAAAGGGTTCTGAACAGGGATGGGCCCTGACAGATACACATTAAACAGTTTATTTGTCATAAACAGTCAACATTACAACTACCAGTCACATTCAATTATAGTGGTCTCATGACTCGGTGTGCTGCAGTATATGAAGAAGCGTGAGTGCACTGGAAATCAGTTTTGACAGATATCACGAGTTAAGGAGCTGAGAGAGGAAAAGTGGAATTGGTATATGAATATATGATGACACCCTTGAAACTAACCAGAGCGCCAAAGAGTGAAAGATGAATGGGACATACACAAATTCAGTCAGTGCAAGAAGACGGACAGATGCCAAAATGACCACTTTTCAGTCGGTTTGAGGCTCAACCAAAGCGATCCCCGAGGGTTACGACAAAATGAGTCATAGTCTCGTAACCACGGTGACGCCAGTTGAATGACGAGTTGGGTTGTGATAGGCTGTAATCCGTCCATTAAAATGGATTAAAGACAATAGAGCAGCACTGAGAGTGTATCTGCATGTTTCAATGTGACTGTGCATGTGTGTGTGTGTGACTGTGTGTACATCTGTGGCCTTAGTCAACACGGCAGAGAAAATGACTCAGTGTATTTTGGGGTCCCTGTTAGTCTCATGTTCCTCTTTGAGGGGCCACTCCCTCAGAGAGGGACATGAGACAAGCAATAACGGAGGGGAAGATAACAGACCCCTTTTTGTTTCCCATCATAAAGCGTGTCTAGATTACACATTACACATTGTGCTACTACATATGTATGTAGTTCAACTGTACATATGTGGTTATCTTTGGAAAATCTGAGAGGGGTCCATAGAAACTCTTTGACAGAAAGACATTTCCAATCAGAGTTTTGTTGGTACCCTCCGATAAACGTGTGTGAAGTCTCACCTGTTGACATCGTCGTCTCCGGTCAAGGCCCTTGGCAGAGGCGAGTATCTGGGCGTGGTCAATGGGGCGGGACTTACAGACTGGCTGCCACTCATGTATGGGCTTATATGGTTGTCTTGATGTGGGGAGTAAGCTGGAGGAGGACACACCAATTTTTCTTCTTATTTTAGCATATGATCATACATGAAACATCATCCCATTGATGTCTTTTAAAAAGGCGGAGTGTGTGCTCTCATGTTCTGCTTGTATGGCTCGTATTGCTGACATGTCGGGAGACGGTGGTGTGGTATACACCGCTTCGTAATGCGTTCAACCCACAGCGGGGATAAAGTACGTGCTGTTTGATAAAATGGTTATTTGGAGTGGGAACAACTCGCAGTAATCCACTGGATCATCTGTTTATAAGACTATTATATAACGTTGTCTGGGTGATGTCAGAATGTCTATTAAACCAAAATGTATAATGTTTCAAACCAACTTAAGTTGGAAGTACTAGAAGTATTTTGTATTATCATCACAGGCTGTATAAGCACATCATTATTAGAGTCATTTGTTAAGGATGCATCTTAAACAACAACATGCTTATTCAAGCTCTCACAAACGTTTTGTGTTAAACGTGTGTGGAGTAAAATAACCTTTATGGCTAAAGCCTTTTGTGACATTCAGTTCCAAAGTGGAAATCTATAGCAAGGTTTAGTAACCTCTTCACTAAACATAAATAAAAGCTATAATGACCTCACAGTTAGGGTCAATCTTCCCATTCAAGGTCGCCGTGCTCTAGCGCTTCTGTATTTTACAGTTGATCCCATGGATCAGCTACTGCACATGCTGCATTGACTGGTTGCTCCTGACGATGTCTGCGAGTTGTGTCTGTGTAAATAAAAGTCTATGCTATCCGGTGAATGCAGGATCCCTTAAACTCATGTTATGAAATGGATTATTGTAATGTGTACTTACAATTAGTGACGTCGGGCGGAGGGAAGTTGTCATTGATAAAAACGGAGGTGTGTTTGGCCACGCGGAGGTAAACAACGTCAGGAGTGGACTTCAGGGCCGCCACCGCATCTTCATGAGTCACCTCCTCCAAACATGAGGCATTCACCTGTAGATCACACATATATATCATAAATACATCATATTACATATATAGATGTACAAATATAATAACTATGTCCATACTAGACAGGAAAACATCCATACAGTGTGGATGATATTGTGCGTTTGTGCAGCTACGTCCATGGACTACACATTAACCTAGTGGAGAACAGGCTTTAATTATGTATGTATGGTTTGTATTTTCTTGCTGAATGGCTGTGGAGCTGCATTAAATCACCTCTATACAGGCTAAGATATAAATTGGAAGTGCAACAATCTAATTAAAACATGCTCTTGCCGATTGTTTCTCTAATAAACCTTAGAGATTGTTAGGTAATATGTAACAACCTAATAATCGAGGGCAATGATTGTTTCTGTTTTTAGAATTAAGGGAAGCCCTCAACATTTTACAATGTTACTGTGGAATAATTACAAGTTTGATTTATTTAGGGTAAAAGGGTATTCCACCTGAATTCAGTGAAAGCAATTCATGGCATGTAGAGTTATTAGCAATGTTCATTGCCTATGTGGGGCGAATTAACCTGATTTAACATGGTTGTGGCGTTTGATGTAGATTAGATTAAAACAGTAAACTGCGCATTGCGTGGATCTATAAAAGCTTACTTTGATAGCGACCACAATCTACATACTAGACAACATTTCAGGCTAGTGAAAAGCAAATTTCTTACAGCCATAAGTTTGTCCCCTATCTGTAGCCGTCCATCCTTGTGTGCAGCCCCTCCCTCGATGATCTTAGTCACATAAATGCCGTTGTCGCCCGGGACATGTTGGTTTCCAAGTCCACCTGCGATACTGAATCCTAAACCTGGGAGAAAAACATCATCAGACTTATATTTGTATTGTCTGCGCCATCCGTCTGCATTTGTATTCTCTGCACCGTCTGCAGTGCTACATTTTGATATCCTTGTGCACTTTTTAACAGTCAACATTTAGACATATTGTTTTGATACACTTGAATTGTTTCCTTTTTTCATGCAGCAGTAAGTAAGCAGCAGTAAGCAGCAGAAGCATCAACCATCACGTTTCAAGTCCAATGTGCTGGATCAAATCAAAACAATCGTATTTCCTCACCTTTGGGTCCTTTGACCAGTTTGATATCCAGGATTCTCTCTGTTAGGCTCTTCCTGCGTCTTATGCACAGTCGTACCAGACCTCCGGCGTCCTTCAGCGCCTCCACAGCCCCGCTGTGGGTCACGTCCCTGACGTCCGTCTCATTCACCCGCACTATGCAGTCATTCACCCTGCAGGGCAAAGGTACTTTCAAGAAAGAAAGTTGCACGACAAATAAAGCGCATCACTTCCCGGACAATGCTGGTGTTTCACTCTGAAATTGGATGTCTAGTTGGGGAACATGTATCTGTTAAACAGGAAGTGGAGGAGGAGGCTGCGGTCAATGGCGATGAGCTAACGGTGTGTGTCGTGTACCTGAGTCGTCCGTTCTGGGCGGCGGCCCCCCCAGGTATGATCTTGGTGATGAAGATAGAGGGGTCTTCTCCAATATGAGGGTTATCAGTCCCTCCTGCAATACTGAACCCCAGACCCGAGTTACCCTACACATGCACACAAACAGAGAGGGGGTTTGAAAGAAAGGAAAAATATCCAAACACAAATACTGTTTTTAAAAGATAATTTCTGTCAGAAGCTTTGATCATCCAAGATAAATGTATCGTCCCTGTCTCGGAATCCTCAGCCAGCAGTTAGTTAGTAGCACTGAAACTATTCTCACATCTGTCAAAATGACAATGAAACATTTTTTAAAGACAACATAATACAATTGTTTTCTTCTTTCAAAACTCAGTCCCCCACAAAAAATTAAGTAATAGTGCGGCTTTTGATGACATCACAAATAAATTGTAGCCTCTGTCAGTCAGAGACAAAAACAACACCTGATGACAGCTTTTACTTTGTGTCTGTTTCACTCGCTCTCGCATGCTTTCTTAACTGACATGTCTGTGCCTGTGTTTGCGTGTATGTCCGTAGAATCTTTGAAGCAGATCCAGTCAAGCAGACAGAACCAGGTCACAGGAGAATAGAGGGGGAGAGAGAGAGAGAGGGAGAGCCTCGGGACAAGGGAAAGGGGAATATAATGAGTGATGGAGCACGTCGATAGAGAAAAGAGAGTACGGAAGGACGAGGAACAGAGAGGGCGAGGAAATAAGGTCAGCAGAGTCGGACCGTGGTGGGATGAAGTAAAGGAAGAATAATTATCAGCTGATGGAGAGGAGTGAGATAAATTACAAGATTGTTGACATTGAGCAGATGAAGGTTTTATGACTATAACGTTTCTGGTTTTGTAAATGTATATTTTTTACCCTTTAGATTAATTTAGACTCTTTAATCTGCGAACCTAAGACGAACCAAAGTAACTTTTAAACAGCAATAAAAGAAGAACTCATGAGGTAGACATACTGTAGTAGACGTTGATGTCCTGAATACTTTCAGTTAAATAAACCTATGGTATTAATAAGTAAAAGTATTAATTATACAGAAATACAGAATGTTACTGTTAACAGTACTATGTTCACATACCTCATTGAAGAACATATTGGTTTACGTCGTCCTTTTTTAAACAAAACGTTCCGGTTACCATTTAAGCTTACATTTCATTAAAAATGTTCTTTTGATTTATTCCAAACTACATCATTATTTTAATATCTTTACATTATTTTTACAGTACACTTTTAAATAGGGAATCTAATCACCAACGATCCAGAGTGCTTTTATTCTGCATGTTGAAGTACTTGAAAACAAGCTATTGGTTTGTATAAGCAAAGTGATATTCAACAGTGTGAGGATATAGCATTTACTGATCGCAACACATTGGTCATTTTATAGCCAAAATAATGTATTAAATGTATGAAAGTTGCCAAAATGGCATAAGAAAACCAACTGACTTTTGTCTCTTAATTTGTTTAACTCAAAGAAGAAATACAGGATTCCTCCTACTTTTAAATTGGCACTCAATATAATTTCTACTTTTGAAGGCATTGCTGATGTTTTTAGGATTTTTTATGTTATTATGGAGGACAGTCTAAACAGGTGCTGCTAATGGAAGGTTGATTAAATAACTGCAGCACATGTTACAGTTTACATGCATGCACTTTGCAGAGGATTGTTTCATTGCATGTTAATCTTTACCCGTTCCAGCGTGATTTCTTCATATTCATAATCTGCTTCTGTTCCATTGACCTGTCAGAGAAGGAGAGGAAATAGGAGAGAAGAGATGTGGGTCAATTAAGGTTAAACGTGGAACTGTCGCTTCCTGTAGTGGACACTGAAAGGCTCATTAGCTTGAACAGTAAAGCTTTTACATTAAAACGTGTTTAAGCAGTATTTCGTTCCGTCAACTCAGTTGCCCTTTAATTACATATCTCACTGTTTCTGCACAACTTGTAGGTGCATTCAATATGTAGTATGCCACTTTTCAACATCAATCAGAAGTTCAAGAAATTTTCCTTTCTAATTGTAAACCAAAATATGAACAGATATATTTGATCATGAACGGATTATTATCAATAAATAGAAACAAACATCAGAATTATAGAAAATGCAAGTTAGACATTTGATAATTCATGAATGACGCATAAATCCCAGGGATTAAACTGGTAATGTGTATTACTGATGATGTACCTCTGACGTCATATTTAAGAACGTCCCTGCTGAATTACCCACAAGCCAATCACACTCAGGCAGGACCGCCCAACTCTGAAACGTTAACATCTTGATTCCCTGACTAAATGAACAGCACGCAGAATAAAATCCGATCTGAGGCGACTATTATATTTTTTGTGTCGGTTTAAACTGGGAGATGAGTGTCTTGTTGTAGGCCGGCGTGCACACACACACACAGACACACACACAGTGGTCGAGTGGCATCCCAATGGCCCATGTAATCCCTTTGGCTGTAATCTGTGTCTCTGTGCAGTCAGATTAGTTCAGATTTTGAATTTCTGTCGTTCAAACGGGGGCACAATCTTCCATCAGCCCCAATGTGCGGTGTGTCTGTTTTCACCTACTATTCAGTGTGTACACGTTCAAACTGGATAGGCACTTGATTAAAGGCCACACAAATTTACCACGAACACAAAACATTGGATTATTTTGAAAAGATTTGGAAAATAATATCTTTCTGCCTTTTAAAAGCAGGAGCCTCAAATCCCTGTAAACATGATTGTGATCTTTGTTGTTTAACAAAGTAATATCTATAAAAAGCATCATAAAGTAATCCAACTTTGCTTTTACGTTAATGCATGAAGTAGTTTACTATTTATTAAAAGTGACACTAGAAGAGATTAAAACAGTGTATCTGTTTGTTAGTAGGATCTGTTTTTTGTACATGAATCACACTTATAGAAGAAGACAGCATCCAAATATTATGTCAGTGATAAGATAATTATGTCAGTGATAAGATAATTCTGCCACGAAGAAATATCTTTATCTCTCTGTGTCTTGTATCCCAGAAAGTTCAGCAAGGAGTAATTCATAGTAATGACATAATAAACGTATCCAACAACAGCCGACAGTCATTCTCTGTGGCAGCTGGCAACCGGTAGAATGACATCTGGAGCCATTTAATTCTGGACAAAGCTCTCTGTCTAAATCCAGGATGAATTGCGCATTTTTTTAATGGGGAGTTGCCAAACACGTATAGTAGAAGCTCCAGAAAGTGCTTTATACAGTAAATGACTGTTCATATGATGAATGGCTCATATGGTTTTTCAGAAAAAATGTTTGTAGAATAACAATAGATGACAATTCATATATAGACTTAATTGGGAATATAATGTATTGAGCGCTCAACCTCAAAAATATAGCTCTACATGAGTCTTAAAATATCTTTGATTTAACCCTATTTTGCTTTTTCGAAGAAAACGCTTCAAAAGTGCAGTATGTTTGGAGACATTCAGCAATGAGGTTGCACAATGCAACAAACTGAAATTTATCCTGTGGCCCAATTGTGTCGAGGAAAGTGGACGATGTAAAATCGCTAAAGGTTTGGTTCTCCACAGAAACACGGCGGCTCCGTAAAAAGAACATCCGCCCCAAATGTAGATGCAGCTCATTCTACTTTATAAAAAACACAGCAAATCTTATTTTTGGGGGTATTACACACGGAGGAAAATAAACTTAATATTTTACTAAACAGTATATTTAAACCAGTACTCACGTATGGGGGGGTGTCGACACTGTCGGTGTTGACCACCACTGGAGGGGGGTTGGCCTGTCAGAAAGAACAGCAAAGTGATTAAATTCTTTTATTTTGAAAGATTTGATCACAAAACCAAAGCGATACAGCAGACAGCGGAAACTGTTTACTGTAAAAAAAAAACACACACACATAAACACACAGATCTGTGATATTGACTTACTCGTCTCATGTTTTGGTAAAGCATGTCCAGTACATCTGCTACAGATTACCACCGTGGAGCGACAGCATACACCACATGACATGCTGCACAGCCCTTATTTTGGACAAAACCAAAGTATCACACTGCAAACCGCACTGCAACGTAACCGCCCGTTTACCTTACTGGAGCCACCCAGTACAGCACCACCAACCCTGTGCTGCGTTTACATTTTCAATTGTATTTTAAAGGCCTGCTTTGTTCTCCACTACACAGTTCTCTCCGTCGGATTGTATGCCAATACAGCAAACTTGATTCATTTCCAAAAATAAACACCAAACATTTGCACACCTCCCATGTGCCGTCTACTTCCTCTTTCTCTCCATTCCCCTTCTTCTCTAAGCTCAATCTCTCTCTCTCTGGCCTCCTTCTAGCGTCCAGGCGGGGTCAGTTTGAGGATAAAGCAGCGGCGGATGATTGACATGGTCTTTCCTCTGGCTTCCTACACGAGGCCAGCAAACGATACACCTCACACTACCTACTAAATAGCCACACGGTGTTTTTTTCTCCACGTATTTGCGAGGCGAGCACCAGCACCCATCTTATCTGTGCAGCCTTTTCTCCACCTGTCACCGCCTTTGCCCTCGTCTCGTCTCACTTTCTCCTCAGAGAGTGTCGAACGCTCGTCTGTCCAGCGGCTGCTGCTTGAGGGTTCTCCAACAAACCAGCGGTGAACAAGCTAGTCCATGGAAGACAATCTGAAGCTCCAGCTCTCGCTCTGCAGCTACCCCCTCCCCCCCCCAAAAAAGGTCCCAAACAAATTGGCAAAGCAGAGATGAAACAAGCTATCCAAGCAAGTGGACAGTGCTCCCAAAGTTCACTTCACTGCATCAATGTGCAACAGAGCAGCAATAGCATCTATTCCTCTGAACTAATCTCTACATCACTCATCCTCCCTTTCCCCCTCCGTTATTTCCTCCCTCTCTCACACACACACACACAAATTATCTCACTGCGTGTTTCTCTCTCTCTCTCCACCACATGTCAAACTGTCTGTCAGTCAAGCTGACAGGATGCTTGATCCCACACGGGAACAGAAAGAGAGAGAGAAACAGGGGGGATCAGAGGGATTATTATGCACGTATGGTGGGAGGAGTCAAATGTGCCTGCTCAACAACAGCAATGTGGAGCAGAGGGGGCAGACAGATGCACCCCCATCCCCTTAAAACCATAGACGTGAGTAAAAAGGACAAAGAAATGATGAGACGAGACACAGAGAGAGTTAGGGAATGAAGGAAAGAAGGAGGCGGGACTAGTGGTGGGGAGGGGGGGGGTACTGGGGAGTTCATGGCTGTTGAGGTGACAGTAAGGGCCGACAGTTGCAGCTGTTAGTGTTTGTGAGTGTGTGAATAATTATCATCACAATATATTATGGTCCATAGCACCTGTCTTCATTACAATATTACATGTGTATGTTGCATACTTTATATATAAAGTAAGGTATACTTAAGGTCCCTTAATAAATTCACAATAATAATGATTTTAAAAAGCATATTTCTATCTGCCTGAACTAATAACTAAATGAAAACAGTTGTTCAGCTTGAACTTCTAAAAACAAATGAGAATGATGAGTATTTGAAATGTATAAACTAAAAAACAAGTTGAGATTAAAAATGCTTCATCTGACCGCGGTGTCATAGCCGCTAATGCTAACAGGAAAGCTTAATGCTTACTTCATAGAAGCAACCAGCTGCCTAAAGCTAACCCGCCAAAGGCCCATTGCCTCTCCTTAAACTTCAGCTGAGTTATTAACCATTGAACAAAAGCAATGCACAACATCTCTTTGTGCGTCTTTATCTATATACATGCGTGTGTGTGTCATTCACACGCCCACAAATCCAGGCCGTCCGTCCGCTGGTGATTGCATTGACACGCCGCGTCAGACTGCATGCTTATGTAACATTGTGTGCGTGTGCGTACATGGATGAGGTGGTGTTACATGAAACGGCCAGAAGAACAAACGTGCCAATATAAACAAACAAGTACTTCACATGCAAACACACAAACAAACACATGTCATCCATATCCAGACTGTGTTTTGCTGCACCATGCAAGCGAGTGGTAGTTGTTACATGATTGCTGTTCCACCAGCTGCATTGTCATGGTACAGTGGTTCAGTTCTGCAAGACTTAGAAAGACTGATGGCTGTGTCAGTCAACTAGTTGTCTAATGAGACAAACTGTCCCCGGTTTGTCTCATTGGACAGCGAGAAGAGCCGTGCCATGCATAGGGGTGCAAGATTCAGAAATGGACACCCTCGCCAGGAAAGCTAAATTAGCAAATGAATCGTGATTTGATAAACAGAAATCAAGCCTGGAAACCTGGAAATATCTAAATGATGCACAGGAGCAGCAGCTGGTTGAAGAAATGCAACAGCATATGAAGTGCAAACAGGAAAAGTCACAAACCCAATTGGGTAGATTGTGACAAGTAGGAATATTTTAACACTCAATTCAGTTTTTATGCCCCATCTGACCTTTCTTGGTCAAAACGCTGCTACTTTAGCAAGGAAGGGTCAATGCTGAGACATTAACACATAAACATATTCCACCCCTAATATCACTGTCCACTCCAGCGTCCTAATGTGCTTTCAAACTCCATTTAACTAATGAGCTAATCAGATGCAGCGCAGCTCTCATCAAATCAGAACGCCATGGTAATCCCGCTAATTAGACGCAACCAGATTGTTAACATGGACGGAACAATTGAAAAATGAATCCAATCTAACGACGACAATTGCAGGACTTTAATAACACAACCTCTGTTCTGTGACAGTTCTTTTAGTATCAGATGCGGATGGTTTAAATGTACACGTGCTGTTCAGTGCTACACTACCATGGAGCTATCAAACCTACCTGCACATGCGCCTGTATTTGTGGAAAGTGGTGTACAAGCGGCACGTGTGGGGGCATTTCTGTTGTCCAGATGTATGTATCGTTGGGCCACGGCCTGCTCCCGGCCTTGCCCTTGCCTTTACTCTTTGTGGGACTCTTCTTCACGCTGTCCCGCAGGTTGGGGAACTTTCCTCTGGAGCCCCTGGTGGCCAGACTGGTTGGCAGTGTGCTCCACCCATAACCGCCCAGCCCTGAACACAGGGGAAGCTGCGGTGAGTGGAAAGGGTGGATGGACAGTGACTGGGAGGCGTGAGGAAGAGGAGGAGGGCAGTGGTGGTGCTGATGGTACTGCTGGAACAGCGAGTGGTGACTGGGGGAATGGAGCTGCATCTGCTGCTGTTGGCTGTAGATCTGATGCGTCGATTGTGAAGAAAGCAGGTGACTTGGCGACGCCGGGGGCTGGCAGTGTTGCTGGCTCAGAGACAGATGCGGTAGCTGATGGTGACTCGGTGATAGGTGAAGCCGGTTGTGGCTTGGCGAGTGCAGTAGGCGATTTGGCGATTGGGGAGCCAGCTGGTAAGTCGGCGATGGCGGAGCCAGCTGATGACTTGGAGATGGTGGTGCTATGTGGTAGTAGCTCGGAGAGGGAGAAGGAAGCAGAAGTTTTGGCGTGTGACATTTATGTTTTGGCGAATGAGGATGCTGACTTGGTGAGTGCAGATGCAAAGGCTGCAGCTGGTGATTTGGCGCATGGATTTGCAGTAAATTCTGGTTATGCTTTGTGTGAGAGTGGCTCTTTCCTGACTTGCCCTTCCCTTTGCCAGATTTTCCCTTAGTGGAGCCACTGCTGGGCTTCTTGGGGCTACAGCAGAATTCATGGCTGTGGAAATAAGTGGTCATCCCTACTCATATATTTGTAAAAAGTAGCCACAAAGAGATATTTCCGTCGCCCTCACAGCATCGTCTTCTTTACAGACGAGACAAAAGGGAGTAGCCCCTTAGAATCACGTTTGTCAGAATAATTTAGGTCATGCCCTTCCAGAACAACCAATCCTCCTCCGTGTCCGGTGCAATGTGGGCAATTCCACGTTCCTCTCTTTGTGCTACGTGTCTAAGATCACGGAAATATCAAAATTGATTAATATTCCTTTCCGTTTCTCCTCCTTTTTAGATTAGAGCATCAGCTAATCCCGAGACGCAAGAGAGCCCTACTTAGATGTGTCAACAAAAGTCTCCTTGGCTTTCTCCACTTTGACCCTCGCTCCGTCCATCGGGGTGACAGGGTGAGGTCCGAAGAAGAACCAAACGGACCAGTTCAGCCTCCTTTCAGTCCAGCTTTCTCTCAGAGCGTCTCTCTTTCATGCACTCGACTCCGAGGGTTTGTCTTCCTGCTTCTGTGATTACGCTCCACCTCAGCGGTCAGTCACTCAGGGTAACACATTATCCACCTATGTAGCGCACGCCGAGTTTGTATCTGAGGTGTTGGTCGCTCTCTGCAGTTTCATTCATATATTCCAGAGCAAAAAGTAGAAATTAAAACAGGAGTCTACTCAGATTGGAGTCCTTTGTTGAAATTCATGTGTTTTCAGATTATTGTTAATTATTTCCTTCCAGAGGGTTAGAAAGAGTTACTTTCATCTTGTCTTCTTGTCTTCATCTTTCTGTCATCATGCTTTGGTATCAGGTCACATCTCTGTGCACAAGTCTCCTCCTCAGCCTCTCATCTTTCTATGCTGCCTCCTTCTCTCAGTGCTTGTCCCTCTCTCTCTCTCTCTTTCTCTTTCTCGCTCTCTCTCTCTTTTCGACTATCTCTCCCCCACTCGCTCTCCCTTTCTTTCTTGGACCAGCCAATTAGGGGCTTCCCTGGACTCCTGCACATGGCAGCAGCCAGGCATGTCTAATCGATAGACCAGGGACAGCGATACGGCGCTTAGAGCTCAGTCAGTTCGTGTGTGTGCAATGAACAAAGAGCTCTGATTGGC